CACTCCCAGCTGTGAATGGAGTCTACACGTTGTGTCAGGTGAGACATGCAAAGACAGTTTGGGCTCTGCCTGCTGGACAAATGACCCAAGAAATTTACAGCTTATTTGGGTCTGCGGCGTGACTGGAAACATACTTGATCTCTGTGCAGTTTCTGGTACAGATGTCTTTTCCCTGACTCTGCGTGATAAGGTTGTCCTTATCACCAGAGCCTTTTTAGTTTTTTGTTTGTTACTGTTTTATTTATTTTCATTTTGCCGGTCCTAGGACTTGAACCATGGCCTGGGCGCTGTCCCTGAGCTGCTTTTGCTCAAGGCTAGTGTTCTTCCTCTTGAGCTACAGTTCCACTTCCAGCTTTTTGCTGGATAATTGAGGATAAGTGCTTCCTGGGCTTTCTTGCCTGGGCTGGCTTTGATCCGTGAGTCTCAGATCTCAGCTCCCTGAGTAATTGGGATTCCAGGTGTGAGCCGTTAATGCTCTGCCAATGTCAAGTTCTATATATGCCATCCTCAGCAATTAATCAGCCATATATTTCAGGCTTTCCTACCACTGTTGGGCTGGGATGTAGCTCAGTGGCAAAGCGCTTGCCTAGCAAGTGCAATGTCCTGAGTTTGATACCCAGTACCAAAAAATAAACAAAAAATATATATACAGTTAAAAAAAAAACAAAACCTACCACTGTGTGGCTCCCATATTGTCTTTGTCCTGGAGATGGAGCTGCTGGCACTGGTGGCTCACACCTGTCATCCCAGCTACTCAGGAGGCTGAGATCTGAGGATGGAGGTTTGAAGCCAGGCCAAGAAGAAGGCTCTGAGATTCTTTGGGAAAAAAGATGTCAGAAGTGGAGCTGTGGTTCAAGTGATAGAGTGGCAGCCTTTTGCAAGATAAAGTTGAGGGTTCCGGACTCCCGTGGCTCACGCCTGTCATCTTAGCTATTCAGAAGGCTGAGATAAGGATTGCGGTTCAAAGCCAGCTTGAGCAGTAAAAAGTCCATGAGACTCTTATCTCCAATGAACCACCAGAAAACCAGAAGTGGTGCTGTGGCTCAAGTGGTAGAGCACTGGCCTTGAGCTGAAGAGCTGAGGGACAGCGCCCAGGCCCAGAGTTCAAGACCCACGATCAACAAAAAAAAAAAATGTTGAGTTGATGCCTAGGCCATGAGTTCAAGATCCAGCATACACACACACACACACACACACACACACACACACGCATGCACACACACACTTCCTCATTGAGTCAGGTTACCCTCTCAGCACAGGGAGGAAGGAACTCCTGCCTTCAGATCTGCTGTCTGATAAGTTGGGCCCTTGCACAAGCTGCTGGGCGTGATAAAGATGTCCTGTGCAGACAGCACAGCCTGAGCGTGGCGTAACCCACCCCACCCGCCCGGAGGAGGCCGGCTCCAGTGACCACACACACAGCGCTGTCACAGGGCCAGGGGCAGGGACACGCCGTGGCCGGCGCCCGCCTGGGGCTTCCTGCTGGACATTACAGCTACTGGAGGAAATCCACGCAGACTTCCCGCCTGGACCGCCGCCCCCTGCCCCTCCCCTCTGGTGAGGGACTGTGAGCCCCTGACCCACCCCGGAGGGTCCCCACGCCTCCTGGGCCGGTCACCTCTCGTCCCAGAATGGAGAATTTGACTCTCGCGCTGAGAGACCGTGGGTGGACAGGGACACTGTCCGTCCGTCGCGTTTTACACTCGCCAGACCCTAGTAGAGTGCTCCTGACCGCTTCAGAGTGGGGTCTTAGATGTCCACCCACTCAGCTCTTTAAAGCCACAATGCCTTATTTTTGCTGCAGGTTCTGCTAACACAGTGGCAAATGGCTAGAGGTTCTATGTGTTCAAGCTCTCCTCTCTGTGCGACTCCTGCCTGTCTCTCCTGCCTCCTGAGCCTCCCTGCCATGGCTCTAGAAGCTTTCCTTGTCTTAGTTCACGCTCCTCCCCTGCTTGCTGTGCACCACGCCATTCTGCTTGTCGGTCTGCTGATTGTCCACTTGCTTGCTTGCTGAATAATGCACCACCAAGTTTTCTTACCATCCTGACTTTTTTTTTTTTTTGCTAGCCCTGGGGCTTGAAATCAGGCCTGGGCATGTCTCTGAGCTTCTTTTGCTCAAGGCTAACACTCTACCACTTGAGCCACAGTGCCATTTCTGGCTTTTTCTGTGTATGTCGTGCTGAGGAATTGAACCCGGGCCTTCATTCATGCTAGGCAAGCACGCTACCACTGAGCCACCTTCCCAACCCCCTGATTTGATTTTTTTTCCCCCCATCTTGGCCACCTGGTGGATTTTCCTTCCATCTCCATCTGCCCAGCAAGTGTTTAAAGGTCAATTCATATGCTAATGTGCCTCTTGACCAATTTTTTTTTTTTTTTTTTTTTTTTGCCAGTCCTTGGCCTTGAACTCAGGGCCTGGGCACTGTCCCTGAGCTTCTTTTTCCTCAAGGCTAGCGCTCTACCACTTGAGCCACAGCACCACTTCTGGCTTTTTCTGTGTCTGTGGTGCTGAAGAATTGAACCCAGGGCTTCCTGCATGCTAGGGGAGCACTCTACCACTGAGCCACCTTCCCAGTCCACAAAATTGTTTTAAAGATTTTCTGATAACTGGCTCTGCAAGTCAAAGGAAAAAGAAAGAAAATAAAAGAATGTAAAGAAAAGAAGGAAGGAAGGAGAAAGAAAAGAAAAGGTAGAAGGAAACAAAGAGGAAGTTTCAAACTCAAGCCACAAAGAAGCTCATCTGAGCTTGGTGGTGAGACTAAGTGTGTCTTGGAGTCATGATTAGAGTCATGATTAGTAAATGTAAAGAGAAAGAAACAGGAAACAAAAATGGTTTATTTGGATAAGAAAGGATTTAGAAAGTAAACATTGTCTTCAATGTTTGTTCCAAAATGGAAAAAGAGAAGAAATTAAGACATACCTCAGAAGGCTGGAGTAAGTAGCAGATGGTATGAATATGTCTTGGATTTATAAGCTAGAGCTTATGAATAAAGTCAGTATAGCTGGTATGTAATTAAGCTGGCTGTGATTTAAATAAGGTCATGATTAATAACATGTAAAACCAGCATCTCATTCTTTCTGTCCATCTATGAAAGTAACGGTACACTATTAAATCTGTCAAGTTTTTAATATGTTTCCCAAGAATGTGAGCTGCCTTGGACACAGAGCCACTCAGTTAAAAATGGATGGTTTCAGCTTGGCGCTGGTGGCTCACACCTGTCATCCTAGCTACTCACGAGACTGAGATCTGAGGATCACGGTTCAAAGCAGCCTGGGCAGGAAAGTCCTTGAGACTCTTATCTCCAATTAATCACCAGAAAACCAGAAGTGATAGAGCACTGGCCTTGAGCTAAAGAGCTCAGGGACAGTGCCCAGGCCCAGAGTTCAAGCCCCATGACGGCCAAAAATAAATAAAAATTAACGGTTTCAAGGAGTACCCTAAAATTAACTAGACAGACTAGGAATGTGGCTTTGTAGTCGAGTGCTCGCCTAGCATGCAGCACGCCTCAGTACCACACACACAGAAGAGGCTGGAAGTGGCGCTGTGGCTCAAGGGGTCGAGCGCTAGCTTTGTGCAGAAGAGCTCAGGGACAGCGCCCAGGCCGATGGGGAAAAAAAGCCTCGTGGGACAAGCCATCCCAGCAAGGAGCACCTGGACCCCGGGACGGAGCTAGTCCTGGCGACCAGGGGTCCTGAAGAGCAGTCGGAGGGACGGTGCCGGATCCCAGAGGACCTCACTCGGTGCCTGGCCTTTCACGACTGCCCGGAGCTGCCTGTCCGTCTTCCAGCTGGACAGGAGCGTAACGTGAGCCTCAGGCTCAGGACGGTTTCCCTGCCACCTCCACAGCTATAGCCCGGGCCAGGAAATGTCCAGGCCTCCCGCCCGGCCCTGAACCACTCCCTGCCAGCCCTGGCTTCTGCCTGCTGTCCCTCCGTCTTCATCGAGGCTAGCGAACCTCCAGCCTCCATCCTCAGGCCTGGGCCTCCAGACTGGCTGGGATTCCAGGGGGGTCACCACGCAGTGGCTCTGTTTCTGGGACAACAGCCAGACAGCTGTGGGTCCCTGGGCCCTGGGCTCTGTCCCCCCAACACCCGGCCCCGCCCACCCCGGCACTGACACCACCCGGCCCCGCCCACCCCGACACTAACCCCGCCCCCACCCGACACTGACACCACCCGGCCCCGCCCACCCCGACACTGACACCACCCAGCCCCGCCCACCCTGGCACTGACACCACCCGGCCCCGCCCACCCTGACACTGACACCACCCGGCCCCGCCCACCCCGACACTGATACCACCCGGCCCCGCCCACCCCGACACTGACACCACCCGGCCCCGCCCACCCCGACACTGGTACCACCCGGCCCCGCCCACCCCAGCACTGACACGCCCCGGCCCCGCCCACCCCGGCACTGACACCACCCGGCCCCGCCCATCCCGACACCGACACGCCCCGGCCCCGCCCACCCCGGCACTGACACGCCCCGGCCCCGCCCACCCCGGCCCTGACACCACCCGGCCCCACCCACCCTGGCACTGACACCACCCGGCCCCGCCCACCCTGACACTGACACCACCCGGCCCCCGCCCACCCCGACACTGATACCACCCGGCCCCGCCCACCCCGACACTGATACCACCCGGCCCCGCCCACCCCGGCACTGACACCACCCGGCCCCGCCCACCCCGACACTGACCCGGCCCCCCCATCCTGACTGACCCCGCCCCGCCCACCCCAACACTGACCCCGCCCCACCCACCCTGACACTGACCCCGCCCCGCCCGACACTGACCACACCCCACCCACCCTGACACGGTCCCGCCCACCCAGACACTGACCCCGCCCTGCTCATCCTGATACTGACCCCGCCCCTCCCTGACCCCGCCCACCTACCACCCCGCCCTCTCCAGCCCCGCCCACCCCGCCGGCAGTTGAGGCGCGGACTCGGTGGGCGCAGCTTTATTGGGGTCTGTCCGGGCAGGGGGAGGGCGGGGAGAGGGCGGGGCGGGGTCAGTCCAGGGGCTGCGCGCGCAGCCACAGGCCGCCCTCGGCGCGCAGGATGAGCTCCGGCTTCCGGCGCGGCTCGGGCCCCGCGGCGCCCCCTGCGGGCAGCACGCGGAAGCGCAGCAGCGTCAGCGCCAGCGCCACCTTCATCTCGCTCAGCGCGAAGGTCTGCCCGATGCAGTTCCTGCGGGGTCGGGGGGTGACGGGGGGCCCGGGGTGCCGGGGCCGTGGAGGACGGGGAGCCCGGGCGGACGGGGGGGGGGAACGGGGAGCCCGGGCGGACGGGGTGGACGGGGAGCCCGGGGTGGGGTGACGGGGAGCCCGGGGTGGGGTGACGGGGACCCCGGGGGGACGGGGGGGACGGGGACCCCGGGGTGGGGGGACGGGGGGCCCGGGGTGCCGGGGCTGACGGGCCCCGCCGGAGTGCGGGTGGGGGACCCGCTGCCCCGCGCCCCGCGCGCCTCACCTGGGCCCGGCGGAGAAGGCGAGGAAGGCGAGGCGGCCCCGCTCCCGGTCCGGGTGGAAGCGGAAGGGGTCGAAGGCCTGCGGGGGGGGGGCGGAGGACGGGGCGCTGGCGGCGGGGCGCCTGAACCCCCGCCCCGCCGGGAAGCCCGGACCCGCCCCGCCGGGGACCCCGGGAGCGCGGGGAAGCCCGGACCCCGCCCCGCCGGGAAGCCCGGACCCCGCCCCGCCGGGGACCCCGGGAGCGCGGGCGCGGCACCTCGGGGTCCGGCCACACCGCGGGGTTGTGATGAGTCCCGAAAATACAGACGCGGCAGACGACGCCTGCGGGGGGGGGGGGGGGGGGTGAGGCCGGGCCGCGCCGTCCGGTGCCCGCCACGCCCCCCCGCGCCCGCCCCCCCGCGCCCCTCCCCCGCCCCCCCGCGCCCCGCCCCGTCCCCCGCGCCCCTCCCCCGCGCCCCTCCCCCGCCCCCCGCGCCCCGCCCCGTCCCCCGCGCCCCTCCCCCGCGCCCCTCCCCCGCCCCCCGCGCCCGCCCCCCCGCGCCCCTCCCCCGCCCCCCGCGCCCCGCCCCCGCCCCCCCGCGTCCCCGCCCTCCCCGCGTCCCTCCCCCGTCCCCCGCGTCCCGCCCTCCCCTCCCCCCCCCCCCCCCCCCGCACCTCTGGGGATGACCCGGCCGTCGGGCAGCTGCACGTCCCGCGCGCAGCAGCGGGAGACGCCGGTGACGGGCGGGTGCAGCCGCAGGCTCTCCTTGAGGCACATGGTGAGGAAGGGCAGCCGGGCCAGGTCGTCCCTGAGGGCGCCCGCCGTCACCGGGGCCGCGGGGGCTCTCCACCCCCAGCCCCCGCTGAGACCTGAGGGTCGCGTTCAAAGCCAGCCCGGGCAGGAAAGTCCCCGAGACTCTGATCTCCAAGGAACCACCAGGAAAGTGGCGCTGAGGCTCAAGGGGCAGAGCGCTGGCCTTGAGCTGAAGAGCTGAGGGACAGCGCCCAGGCCCAGAGTTCAGGCCCCACGACTGGGGGCAGGGAGATGCTTCCTGGGACCAGGGAGGCTGTGGACAGGCCTAAGGCCTTCACCCCGCCATGGCCCTGACCTGGCCTGGGCTGGGATGCTGGGGGACACCAGACACTGGGGGGAAGAGTGACAGCTGCACTTGCTTGAGAGGAGGGACGCCGCACCCGCCCTCCCCGCCTTTCACGAAGGCCCCAGCACCCAAGCTCTTCCCGCGACTCCCCAGGATCCTCTGACCTTCAACAGGCAGGAAGGAGGCCATCCGGAAGTCCCCCCCAGGGCCGCGCTCACCACTCCACCTCCTGCGGGTCGCGGTCCCTCAGCAGCTCCCGCACCTCCTGCCGGCAGCGCTCCTGGTGCTGCGGGTGCGTGGCCAGGTTGTAGAGGACCCAGGAGAGCCCGCTGGCCGTGGTGTCGTGGCCTGAGGGGCGGCCGCAGGGCGGGGTCACCGGGCTGCGCGTGGACAGCGCAGGGCAGGGAGGGCCGGCGGGGAGGGGGCAGGCGCAGAGCGGGGCCCCAGGGTGGAGGGACTCCTGCCCCAAGCCTCACCCCCAAACATGAAGGTGTCGGCCTCCGCCCGGATGTCCTGGTCGGACAGCGCCTTCCCGTCCTCATCCTGGAAGAGAAAGCAACGCTGCAGAACCGCAGGAGGCCGAGGACGCGGGAGCCGCAGCGGAGAGCAGCCCCAGCACCCACCTTCCACCCCACGCCGCGCCCGCGGGGCAGGGGCTGCCCGGCCGCCACCGCCCCAGGCCCCGGCCTGCGGCCTCGTCTCCTAGCCACCTCTCTACTTCTGGCTTTGGGATGATTCACTGACGATAAGGAGTCTCCCCGACTTTCCTGCCCGGGCTGGCTTCGAACCACGATCCTCAGATCTCAGCCTCCCAAGCACTTGGGATGACCGGCGTGACCACCGGCGCCCAACCCACCGTCTACACACAGATTTTCTCTGGAGAGCTTCCTGAGGCTGAGAACACAGTTTGTGTCCCCCCTCCCTCTCCTCCCCCCCATCCTCTGCCCGGCCCACCTTGGCCAGCAGAAGCACGTCGATGAAGTCCAGGGTTTTGGCCTTGGCCTTGGCCCGGAGGCCATCATCCAGGCCCTGGCCCAGGAGGGAGCGGCGCCGTTCCCGGATGACGGCGTCGGTGAAGGCGTGCACCAGGCGGCAGGCCTTCCGGAAGCGGCGCCCGTCGGGGGTCAGCTGGTACAGGAAGTCCAGGTGCAGCAGCGGTTGCTGGTGTCTCTTGGCCACCAGGGCGCTGAGCTCCAAGATGGCAGCGATGTACTCACTGGGCTTCCTGCAGGACAAGCCCGACGGGAGGGCCCCCATTAGCCTTCCCGACCCCCACTCCCCCACCGCATGACCCAGACACCCCAGGCCTGACTCCATCTCCCTCCTCCCGGTCCCAGATCTGCACCCCTGGAGTGCAACAGGCTCCTCACAGCTCGCGCCTCAGCCTCCTCATGTCTCCATGACCACCAGCTCCATCTCCGCGGGGAGCGCTCACCTGCCAAAGGCTTCTTTGCCAGCCCATGGTGTGCAACTGGGTGGGAAGTCATGGGCCCTTTAAAAGGCAGGGCTAGGGCTTTGGGGTGTGGCCTGAGGGTCTCAGCCCCTCCCTGTCTCTGTCTCTTGGCTTCCAGACCTCTAAACTGGATGGAGATGAGCATCTCCTGGACTTTCTTGCCCAGGCTGGCTTTGAACCGTGATGCTCAGATCTCAGCCTTCCTCTCTGGGCGCCCTGGGCCTCGCGGGGCACTCACTCCTGACAGTCGCTGTGGAAGCCGAAGACGCATCTCAGCAGACTGTCCAAGGTCATGAGGCTGATGTGCTCGAACATGTCCAGATGCGTGACGCCCTCCGCGATCAGTCGCCGCCACTTGGCCTGGCCGGAGAAGGGGGCGGGGCGGGGCCTGAGTGGCCTAGCCTGTCCCCCGCGAGCCACAGGGCCACCTCCAGCCTTCGGTTGGAGATCAGACTCTCCCAGACCTCCCTGCCTGGGCTGGCTTTGAACTGCGATCCTCAGATCTCAGCCTCCTGAGCAGCTGGGATGACAGGCGTGAGCCACCGGTGTGGCCTTCACAGTGGGGATTCCTTTTTTCTTTCTTTTCTTTATACAGAAGAGGAAGCCATGGCTGAAAGGAACCCCGCCCTGGCCTCAGAGTGCTCCCCCCAGCTCACGGGGCTGCGGCCACGCACGTGCATGGTGTCCACGCTGCGGTTGAAGATCTTCGTGTATGGCTTCAGGATGCTGAAGTGGAAGGCGGGCGTCAGCATGCGCCGGTGGCGGCCCCACTTGGCCCCGGCGCTCAGCAGGAGTCCGTCGCCTGGCAGTGGCAGAGTGCGTCGTGGGTGAGGGCAGCGCCCCCCAGGCCCCCGGGCTGCCCCCGCCTGTCCCCCCCCCCCCCCCGTCATGTCCCCTCCCCCCCCCCGCCCGTCCCCGGCGCTCACCCAGCCAGGGCCTCAGGAACCGGTAGAAGACGGTGTCCTTGGGGGCCACGGCAGCTGGGTGCAGGACAGGCAGGGGGAGAGGTGGAGTGGGGCTCCCAGCCTGGGGTCTCCACGTCCCCGCTTGGGCTCCAAGCCCGGAGGGAAGGGGCAGCAGGGGAGGGGGAGCACCGAGGGCTCACAGCGCACCCCTAGCCTGCGATCCCCTTCCCCCCTCCCCCCTCCACGTGCGGGCGTGGCAAGCCCCGCACAGCCCTGTCTGCGTGTGCGGGACTCCAGTGGGCGCAGGCTCCTCCCCTGCCAGGCGGGTGTGCTCCTGCTGAACCACGCCTCCAGCCCTGACTTCAGCTTTTTGGTTCTCTTTTCTCACACCCGACCCGGGGCTTGAACTCAGGGCCTGGGCACTGTCCCCGAGCCTTTGCCCCTCAAGCCTGGCGCTCTAACCACGGGAGCTCACCTTCCTGTCTCCAGAACTTGCTCCAGACACCCCCGCTGTCCCAGGCCCAGAGTTCAAGCCCCAGGACCCGCCCCAAAGCAAAAAGTCTCTGCTGTCTGGAGGGGCCCTGGGGCCCCAGAGCTGGCCGGGGCGCGGTGAGGTCGGGAGAGCGCCAGGCTGGCCGGTGCAGCCGCTCCCGGGCGCGCGCATGCGGCCCGCGGTGGCCCCGCGGGGACGTGGCCGCACCGGGGAGCCGCCGGCCCGTGCCCCTTCCTGCCCAGTGCCGTGGGCCGGCAGGGGCAGCGCGGGGTCCCGGCCGCGGGGCTGTACCTGGGGCCAGGAGCACCGGCTTGATGAAGTCGGGGTGGAAGAGGCGCACCACGGGCTGCCAGGGCCCGAGCCAGCACAGGCACGCGGTCTCGAACGCGCGCGCCAGGCCCTGCAGGCACCGCAGGCCTTCCTCCGAGCTCCGGATCTGCGGGGGGGGGGGGGGGGGGGGGGAAGGACGTGGCCCCTCGGCCTGAGCCCAGGATCCCCCCACTCCTCATCCTCGTCTCTCCCACGCCCTGCACTGCGGGCCCTCGGTCCACGTATTGAAAAGTAACCAAAGGGGGAAAAAGGGGCCTGGGGGCCTGACTCAACCGGGCGAGCCCCTGCCCGGCCGGCGCAGGGCCAGCGTCCACTCCGCCTGTCGCCCCGCGACTCGGAAGCTGGGATCTGAGGACTGTGGTTCAAAGCCAGCCTGGGCAGGAAGACCCATGAGACTCTTGGCCAGTGATTCAGTAAAAAGCCGAAGCGGGGTGGTGGCTCAAGTGGTAGAGCGCCCGCCTTGAGCAGGAAAGGCTGGGGAGGCCGTGGGCCCGGGCCGGCCCTTCCTGCTCTGTCCCCTCTGGGCTGTCTGGTCCACGCGCACGGGACGGCACCAGGGCCAAAACGGGAAGCAGGTGTCGGGCGTGGGGGGGCGGGTGCGGGCGGCCTCCCCAGGGGAAGTGGACCGCCAGCTTTTATCGAGGTTGGCAACGGGGCTCATTGCACATCGGGCCTCTGTGTGCGCGTGCGCGCGCGTGCGTACGTATATGTGTGTGCATGCGTGTGTGCGTATGTGCGTGCATGTGTGCGTGCGGGTATGCATGAGTGTGCGCGCGTGTGCGTGCGTATGTGTGTGTATGCATGGGGGTGTGCGTGCGCGTGCGTATATGTGTATGCATTGGTGTGTGCACGTGTGCGCGTGTGTGCGCGCGCGTGTGTGCGCGCGTGCGTGCGTGTGCGTGTGCGTGTGTGCGCGTGTGTGCGGGTGTGCGGGTGCGTGTGTGCGCGTGTGTGCGTGCGTATGTGTGTATGCATGGGTGTGTGCGTGCGTGTGCGTGCATATATGTGTATGCATTGGTGTGTGCACGTGTGTGCGTGCATGTGCATGCGCGCGCGGGCGCGTGTGTGCGTGCGTGTGTGTGCGTGCGTGCGTGCGCGTGTGTGCGGGTGCGTGTGTGCGTGCGTGCGTGCGCGTGAGTGCGCGTGCGTGCGTATGTGCGTGTGTGTGCGCGTGCGTGTGTGCAGGTGCGCGTGTGTGCGTGCGTGTGCGTGCGTGCGCGTGTGTGCGTGCGCGCGCGTGTGTGCAGGTGCGCGTGTGCGCGTGTGTGCGTGCGTGCGCGTGTGTGCGGGTGCGTGTGTGTGCGTGTGTGTGTGCGTGCGTGCGTGCGCGTGTGTGCGGGTGCGTGTGTGTGCGTGCGTGTGTGTGTGTGTGTGTGCGTGCGCGTGTGTGCGGGTGCGTGTGTGTGCGTGCGTGTGTGTGCGTGCGTGCGTGCGCGTGTGTGCGGGTGCGTGTGTGTGCGTGCGTGCGCGTGTGTGCGGGTGCGTGTGTGTGCGTGTGTGTGTGTGTGCGTGCGCGTGTGTGCGGGTGCGTGCGTGCGTGCGCGTGTGTGCGGGTGCGTGTGTGTGTGCGTGTGTGTGTGTGTGTGCGTGCGTGCGTGCGCGTGTGTGCGGGTGTGTGTGTGTGCGTGTGTGTGTGCGTGCGTGCGTGCGCGTGTGTGCGGGTGCGTGTGTGTGTGCGTGTGCGTGCGTGTGTGCGGGTGCGTGTGTGTGCGTGTGTGTGTGTGTGTGTGCGTGCGCGTGTGCGTGCGCGCGCGGTGGCAGCGCAGGCGCGCGCGGCTCGCGCCCGGGATGAGCCGGGCGGACACAGGCTTCACCGCGCGGCTCCAGCGCGGCCGCCGCAGCCCGGGCCGGGGATGGCGATGCGCAGCCGGCGCAGGACGGCGGCGTCCGGAGCCCACAGCGGCCACGGCCGCGGCCGGCGAGGAAACAGAGCGAGCTGGGGGCCGAGCCGGGAGCCCCCACCCCCGGGCCCCGGCGGAGAGGGCGGCAGCCCGGACCCCCACCGGATCACCCCGGCCCCGCCCCCGCCCTCCCCGTGCCCCTCCCGCTGCCCCTCCCGCTGCCCCTCCCGCTGCCCCTGGCCCCTCCCCCGCCCTCCCCTCACCAGCCCCAGGTGGCCCAGCAGCCGGCCCCGGCCCCCCCCTCACCAGCCCCAGGTGGCCCAGCAGCCGGCCCCGGCCCCCCCTCACCAGCCCCAGGTGGCCCAGCAGCCGGCCCCGGCCCCCCCTCACCAGCCCCAGGTGGCCCAGCAGCCGGCCCCGGCTCGGGGGCTGCGGGAAGACGCGGAGGCGCCGCTCCAGGGTGCGGGAGGCGCGGAGCCGCGCGAGGACGCGGGCCGCCAGCCAGGAGGCCGCGGCCAGCAGCAGCAGCAGCGACGGGGACCACGGCATCCTGCGGGGGGGGGGGGGGCTCAGCAGGGTCCCGGCCGAGCCCCAGCCCCCCACTGCACCCCCAGCCCCCCACCGCACCCCCAGCCCCCACCGCACCCCCAGCCCCCACTGCACCCCCAGCCCCCACTGCACCCCCAGCCCCCACTGCACCCCAGCCTCCCACTGCACCCCCAGCCCCCACTGCACCCCAGCCCCCCACTGCACCCCCAGCCCCCACTGCACCCCCAGCCCCCACTGCACCCCAGCCTCCCACTGCACCCCACTGCACCCCAGCCCCCCACTGCACCCCCAGCCCCCACTGCACCCCCAGCCCCAACTGCACCCCCAGCCCCCCCCTGCACCCCCCAGCCCCCCACTGCACCCCCACTGCATCCCCAGCCCCCCACTGCACCCCCACTGCACCCCCAGCACCCCACTGCACCCCCACTGCATCCCCAGCCCCCGAGCCCCCACTGCACCCCCAGCCCCCACTGCACCCCCACTGCATCCCCAGCCCCCCACTGCACCCCCAGCCCCCACTGCACCCCCAGCCCCCACTGCACCCCCACTGCATCCCCAGCCCCCCACTGCACCCCCAGCCCCCACTGCACCCCCACTGCATCCCCAGCCCCTCCACTGCACCCCCAGCCCCCGAGTCCCCACTGCACCCCCAGCCCCCACTGCACCCCCAGCCCCCACTGCACCCCCCGGCACCCCCAGCCCCCCATTATACCCCAGGAGGGCAGGGCTGGTCCCGGCCACAGCCTGAACCCCAAAAAGAGCATGCGGGCCCACCCCTCACCTCTGCGGCCACGGGGCTGAGGTGCCAGTGGCTCCAGCTCCTGCCCTGCGTCTGTGGCCGGCAAGAGGAAGGAAGCCAGGGGCCCCCAGCCACCCCCCTTCCCCCCCTCCGCTTCCCCCCTCCCCTTCCCCCGCTCTTCCCCCCTCCTCCCCCTCCCCTTCCCCCCCTCTTCCCCCCTCCTCCCCCTCCCCTTCCCCCCTCCCCTTTCCCCCTCCTCCCTCCCTCTCCTTCCCTCTCCCTCCCCTTCCCCTCTCCTCCTCTCCTTCCCCCCCCCTCCTCCCTCCCTCCCTCCCTCCCCTCCTCCCCGCTGCCATTGGTGGAGAAGACTTCTCTCCAGTGTACTTTGGGCTCTTTTGTCAAACATCAATTGGCCCTGGGTGTGTGGTTTTGTCTGGGGTCTGTGCATCGTGGGGGGGGCATGCTGTTTGTGTGGCTGTGGCTCTGTGGTGTAGTTGTTTGTAGTTGTTTTTTGTTTGTTTATTTTGCTTGTTGCAGGGCCTGAACTCTGGGCCTGGGCGCTGTCCCTCAGCTCTTCAGCTCAAGGCGAGCGCTCTACCGTTTGAGCCACAGCACCACTTCCAGTTTTCTGGTGGTTCATTGGAGGTAGGAGTCTCAAGGATTTTCCTGCTCAGGCTGGAATTGAACCGTGAGCCTGAGATCTCAGCCTCCTGAGTAGCTGGGATGACAGGCGGGAGCCCCGGCGCCTGGCTTCTCATTAGCTTTATGTGTACATCTTGTGTGATGCTACCAGCTTGTAGATTACATAGAGATTGAGGTACATGTCCTCTTCCATCGGTTTGTTTGCGGCTGGTAGCAGAGATTATCCACTACGCGATGAACGTTGACAGCTTCCCGCTCTCTTCCCACCGCTCTGGCTCTCGCTCCCGCCCTGCGTCCTGTGCTCCGGAGGAGAGGCTGGGAGAGAAGCCACATAGACATTTGTGTCTTCCTCATTCTGTTGCTCAAGAAATAAGCCACGGGGGAGGCGGGAGGCGGGGCTGGGAAGGTGGCTCAGAGGTAGAGCGCTTGCCTCGCATGCATGAGGCCCTGGGTTCAAGTCCTCAGAACCACATAAGAAGAAAAAGCCGGAAGTGGCGCTGTGGCTCAAGTGGTAGAGCACTAGCCTTGAGCTGAAGAGCTGAGGGACAGCGCCCAGGCCCAGAGCTCAGGCCCCACGACCGACCAAATAAATGAATAAGCCACTGGGGATGGGGGCTGATGTCTGAAGCTCGTGGTTCAAAGCAGAGCCAGACAAACAGATCCAGTTAACCAGCAAAAGGCCAGACGTGGAACTGAGGCAAGGTTGGTAGAGCACCAACCTTGAGTGACAGAGCTCAGGGACAGAGCCCGGGCCCCAAGTTCAAGCTCCAGGACTGGCACGCTCGCACACTCACACACACACACAGAACTAATGACTCTGGCATCTTCTTTCACAAGAGCACAGAGAAAGCCTCTGAAATCACCGGGAACAGTGTTTTCGCTTGTGTGGCCTGGGAGGTTCAGCTCTGGTGCTGCCCATCCCCAGGCACCGGCCGGGAGCCGCTTCCCACAATCCTCTGGGCTAACCCAGCCTCGGGGCTCCAGGGCCTGGGCTGTTTGTTGCTTTGCTGTCTGAAGATCGAGGGGGATTCCGGGGCGACAGCGCCCCGCGGCTCCTCCCCGTTCCATGGCCCCAAAAGATTCAGTTACAGGAGGCGCTGGCATCTCTGGAGGTTTGTTTGACTGGGAAGGCACCCCAAAATAAAAGGAATACAGGTGTGTGCAGGTGTGCAGGGTTTGCCTGCTGACTGTGGGGCTTGCGGGATTATTGGAAAGGAAGAGTTTGGGGGAGACAGAATTTCGAAACATTTTAATGTATAGTTAAAAGTAACTGAGATCTGGGCGCCGGTGGCTCACGAGGCTGAGATCTGAGGATCGCGGTTCAAAGCCAGCCTGGGCAGGAAAGTCCCTGAGACTCTTATCTCCAATGAACACAAGAAAACCGGAAGTGGCGCTGTGGCTCAAGGGGTAGAGCACTGGCCTGGAGCTGAAGAGCTGAGGGACAGCGCCCAGGCCCAGAGTCCACGATCCTCCACCAACAAAGGACAAGAAAACAAAATCAATAGAAAGCTAAGGGGAGTGGTACATGCCTGGAATCCCAGCAACTTGGGAGACAATTGTAGGAAGACCCAGCGCTCAAGACCAGCCTGGGTTACGTACATGCATCTGGCTGGAAAGAGCGCCCGCTGAGCTGTGGGCATTAGATTCACGTTCATGGTGGTGGAGACTTAGAGGAAGAGCAGCCGGCGTGTCTCTTGATACCCCAGCTCACACACACAGCTGAGCTGGCAAGCAGCTGTTTAATATCAGACCAGGGAGCCTCAAGAGAGTCTGGACACACCTGGCCTCAGAGCCCACCCCCAGCTGCCGTGACAGACACTCTGTGCGTGTGTGTGTGCCTGTGTGCACATGTGTGTGTGTGCATGTGTGCACGTGTGTGCATGTGTGTGTGTGCTGGCCCTGGAATTTGAATTCAGGACCAGAGCCCTGCCCTTGAGCTTCCTGTTCCCCTCACACTGGTGCTCTACCACCTGAACCACAGCTCTATGCCTGGCTTTTTGGTGGCTCACTGGAGCTAAGCGTCTCATGGATGTTTCTGCCCAGGCTGGCTTCCAACCTCGATCCTCACATCTCAGCCTCCTGAGTGGCTGGGATGACAGGCGGGAGCCACCAGCGGGGCTTAGACTTGGGCTTTTTGAGCCGGCCTCCTCCTCCTGCTCACCGTGGGTGTTTTGCGGCCCGGGTGCTGCGGGGGCAGCGTGGCGGGGGCTCAGGTGGCGGGGGGGGGGGGGGGGGGGGGAACTCCCACAAGTTCCGGCTGGAGCAGCTGGGCTGGCGGAGGCGGCCCTGCTGGCCACCAGGGCCAGGCGCGGGTGCTGTCCACCCGGGGGTGCTGATCCTGGGCTGCCGGGCCAGGCTGGACAAGCGCTCTTCCTCCTCTGCAGCCTCACGCCACCCTCCACCCGCTGCCTGCAGCCCGAGGACAGAGGCGTGCCCGGCCAGGGATCCAGGGCGTGATGGCCGGTGCGCAGAAGGGTGGCTGTTCCAGGCCGGCCAGGCACGGCTCCGGATTCCAGCAGGGGGGGGAGGGGAGGGGGGAGTGCTGTCACCCAGCTGAGCCTAAAACCAGGCAGATCGCAGTCCAGGCCAAGGCCCGGACAGAAGCGAAGCAAGACCTCACTACCCAATGGCTGAGATCCCAGGATCTCGGTTCAAAGCCAGCCTGGGCAGGAAAGGCTGTGAGATTCTCATCTCCAATAAACCATCAGAAAACTAGAAGTGGCGCTGTGGCTCAAGTGGTAGAGCGCTCGCCTGGAGCTGAAGAGCTGAGGGACAGCGCCCAGGCCCAGAGTTCAAGACCCAGGACCAACAGAAGACGAAAAAGGAGGAGGGGGGAGGGGGAGGAGGGGGGGAGGAGGAGGGAAGGCCCGCTGCTGGCTGAAGCAGCTGGAACGGGGAGGGGGAGGCCCAGGCCCAGGCCCTGGTTCTGCACCCCAAGTCTCCCTCACACAGGCCATCTCCTGCCCCCTCTGGTGGCTGCACTTGCCACGCTGGCCTGCAGGTGGCGCCCGGGCCCCGCACACCAGGGCACTGGGGGGGGGGGGGCCTGTTGATTCACATTTCTGTTCAGGTGGTCCTGGGGCTTGAACTCGCGGCCTGGGCGCTGTCCCTGAGCTGGTGCGATCCGGGCTGGTGCTCTACCACTTGAGCCACACAGCCTCACTGTCCGTCCGGCTTCCTGGTGGTTCCCTGGGGATCAGTCCCACAGCCGTTCCTGGCCTCCAGCCTCCTTCCTCAGACGGCAGCTTCCTGGGTAGCCGGCGAGACAGGCGGTTGTATCCAAATACTGCAGAGTCGAGGGCTGGTGGAGGGCGGGATCTGCTTTGCTTTTGTCAGGACTTCTCGTATCTTCTGGGAGGAGATGATCGTGTAGGGGCCGTGTGCGAAAGATGGGGGGGAGGGGGCAGGCAGGGAGCACTGGGCGTGCAAAGGCCCTGGGCCAGTTCCGCGTGTGCGCACGTGTGCGTGTGTGTGCGCACGTGTGTGTGTGTGCGTGTGTGTGCTCTTGTAAGTCTTTGGGTCTTGAATATCTGGAATCCCTTCCCAGTAGCACACACAGCGTGTGTTTCCAAAGAACTTACCTGTCAAGTGTAAAGAGTCCGTCCAGGCCCAGGGCCGCCAAACCAGTTGGGTGACAATGGGGGGGAGGGAGCGGGCAGCCCCGGGTGGACATTTGGGTGCGGCTGGGCACAGGCTCTGCCCAGGGTTTGAAGGAGGAGGCCGGCGGCTCACGCCTGTAATCCCAGCTACTGGGGACGATTAGGGTTGGAAGCCAGTCTTGGGCAGGAAGGTCCTGGAGAGTCTCATCCCCAAGAGCCAGCACGAAGCTGGGAGTGGAACCCTGGCCCAAGGGGTCGAGCGCCAGCCTTGAGTGACAAAGCTCAGGGCCGGCGCCCAGGCCCCAGTTCAGGCCCCGGGCCGGAGGCAGCAGCAAGCTGGACTGGACCCGGACTCTAGCCTAGCAGACCCGGCGCGGGAATGCCGGAGGACCGGAAACTCGGGCTCAGGGACAAAGCCTGCGTTAGTGGGGAGCCGGGGTCCACGTGGGCCTCTGCGTGCGTGCGTGCGTGCGTGCGTGCGCGCGCCCTGTCCCGCAGAGTTCCTGCTGTGGGATCAAGCCCTGGCTCTGCGTGTGCCGGGCAGGGCCTCTGCCGCCCTAGCCGAGCTCGCTTGCTTCCTTCCGTCCGTCTGTCGGTCCTTCCCTTTGCCCAGGCTAGCTCTGGCGCGGCTGGGATCACAGGCGCGCCCCACCGTGCCCGGCAGACATTCCCGCCCGCCCCTCCCCCTGCCGGAGCCGTCCTCCTCCCGCCCCACCCGCAGGAAGGAGCTCTGACTCAGGGCTGCCGCCGCCCGCCCTGCTGGGGACAGGCTCCCGGCCCCTGGCATGGCTGAGCGAGCCCCGACACGGGCCGGGGTTCAAATCCAAGCTCTGCCGGAGCACTCGGCTGTGCCTTCCCGTGCCTCAGTTTCTCCTCCTGCAAAAAGATGGGAAGAGCAGCAGCCCCTGTCTGGGGAGGAATCTAAGTGCGGCGCGGCACAGGGGGCAGCGCTCCGCCGTCCCGGCTCCGTCCACGGCTGTCACCCCCTCGGGCACGGCAGTTCCAGAGTCCCGCGACTCACAGGGACCCGGGTTCAAATCCTGCCTCGCCACAGGCTGGCTCTGCGGCCTTCCGACAACAGCTGTGCCACGCCCACCCGCCGCCAGCCACGCCCACCCGCCGCCAGCCACGCCCACTCCGGATATTTGCATGCGCTCCATCTTTGCCCCTGATTCGTCCATACAGAAGTGCTGTCCAATCAGCATCCTCCGGCGACAGCCCTCGACCAATCGGAAAGCGCGTGCTCTCTGCTGCCGCCGACAGGTCGGCGGCGGGACTGCACCCAGGTGACCCTCTCCCTCGGGGTCTCGCCGGCTCTGGCCTCTTGGGGTCACCGGCCCCCCTCGGGTGTGCTTCCGGGGGAGCCGGGCCGGCGCCCCGCCTCTGCTCCCGGCTCACCCCTCCTCGCCCGCTTGTCCTCCACAGCCGTGTTGGTTAACGGCGGGCCAGGCCCGGGGCTCGAACTCGGGGCCTGGGCGCCGCCCCCTGGCCTTCCAGTCGCCCTGACTCGGCTGCTTCGGGGCTCAGTGTCCTCCGCGGTCCAGGGGGGGCCGAGCCCCCGCCGGGGAGAGCAGGAGGCTTCCTACCTTCTGAGCTCTCGCAGAGATCTGCGGGCGGCCTCGAACCCAGGGCCCGTGGGGGGAGATGGGAGGGGAAGGGGCCGCCTGCGGTGGGCTTTGAAGGATGCATAGGAGTCGTATAGGCGGAGAAACGTAGAAGGTGGGGCGGAGTACAGGGAAACTGAGGCCAGCCTGCCCCCCCACGCCCCGGCCCGGGCCCTGCCTGGTCCCCGAGACCGCGCGTGCGCACCGCAGGTTAAACCTGGACACGGCTTGGCCTGGTGATGTTCTTCTTCCTTCTGGAAACGCCTAGGCCCAAATAAGGCTGCGGCTGCGGCTGCGGGGCGCGGGCCCGGGCTCGCCGGCGGCCGGGGGGGGGCGGGCGCGGCCTATAAAGGCCCGCGCGGCCCGCGCCCCGCGCTCGCCGCCAGCCGGGCCTCCCGCGCCCGCGCCCGCGCCCCCATGGAGGCCATCAAGAAGAAGATGCAGATGCTGAAGCTGGAGCGGGAGGGCGCCCTGGAGCGCGCGGAGCGGGCCGAGGCCGACAGCCAGGCGGCGGAGGCCCGGCGCCGGCAGGTGAGGCCGCGCCGCGCTGTGCCGCGCTCCGCCGCGCCGCGCCGTCTCTGTGCCCGGCGCGGGCCGCGGGCCTGCACCCCGGGGGCGGCGGGGACCAGGCGCCACGCCGGGGCCCCCGGACACCACGGCCCCGACCCCGCTCAGAGACGGCTGCGAGCCAGTGGCGGCCTCGCGCTCCCACCGCGGTGTGAGTGACCGCCCTCCCCGGCGGCCGCGGGGCTGGTGGAGGCCGCCACGCCGGCTCCGGCGGGACCCCGGGCCGGGTGCCAGGCCGTGCCAGGCCCCGTCGGCAAACGCCCTGGACAGCCGGGGAGGCCGGGGGGGGAGGCCGGGGAGGGGAGGCCGGGGGGGAGGCCGGGGAGGGGAGGCCGGGGGGGGGAGGCCGGGGGGGGGAGGCCGGGGAGGGGAGGCCGGGGGGGGAGGCCGGGGGGGGGAGGCCGAGGGGGGAGACCCGGGGGACTGAAGGGGGAAGGCCGGGGGTGGGGAGGCTGGGGGGGAGGCCGAGGGGTCCAAATGGGGAGGCCGAGGGGGGGCTGAGGGGGAGGCCGGGGGGAGAGGCTGGGGGGGAGGCCGGGCGGGCCGAGGCCGGTCAGCTTATCGGACAGGACTCCGCCCCACCTGTGTGCCGCTCCCTCGCGGAGACTCAGTTTACCCAGTCCTGGGCCTGAGGTCAGGGCGCAGCCCGCGTCCCCCGGGGTGCGGCCCAGGCCCCACGACCACCCCAGCGAGGAACGCAGGCGGGACGGGGGCGCGGGACCCGGGCAGTGCGGCTGCCCAGGGCGCCCCCTGACCCCGCTGACCCCAGGCGGAGGAGGAGCTGGCGCAGCTCCGGAGGAGGCTGCAGGGGACGGAGGACGAGCTGGACCTGCGCTCGGAGGAGCTGAAGGAGGCGCAGGAGAGGCGGGAGCTGGCGGAGAGGAGCGCGGCCGACGTGAGTGCGGGCCGAGGAGGCCGAGGTGGAGGCCGGGGCGGAGGTGGACGCGACCAGGCCCGGGCGGAGGCGGATGGAAGGTGGAGGCCGAGCCAGGGTCGAGGGAGAGGCCGGGTGGGCCGGGGCCGGGCGGTGACCTCAGCGGGGCGGGGTCTGGGCCGGGGGCGGGGCCAGGCCCGCGATGGGGGAGAACGGGGCGGGGCCAGGCCCGCGATGGGGAGGACGGGGCGGGGCCAGGCCCGCGATGGGGGAGAACGGGGCGGGGCCAGGCCCGCGATGGGGGGGGACGGGGCGGGGCCAGGCCCGCGATGGGGAGGACGGGGCGGGGCCAGGCCCGCGATGGGGGAGAACGGGGCGGGGCCAGGCCCGCGATGGGGGGGGACGGGGCGGGGCCAGGCCCGCGATGGGGAGGACGGGGCGGGGCCAGGCCCGCGATGGGGGGAACGGGGCGGGGCCAGGCCCGCGATGGGGGGGGAACGGGGCGGGGTCTGGGCCGGGGGCGGGGCCAGGCCCGCGATGGGGAGAACGGGGCGGGGCCAGGCCCGCGATGGGGGGAACGGGGCGGGGCCAGGCCCGCGATGGGGGAGACGGGGCGGGGCCAGGCCCGCGATGGGGGGGAACGGGGCGGGGTCTGGGCCGGGGGCGGGGCCAGGCCCGCGATGGGGGGGACGGGGCGGGGCCCGGCCCGCGATGGGGGGGAACGGGGCGGGGTCTGGGCCGGGGGCGGGGCCAGGTCCGCGATGGGGGAGGACGGGGCGGGCCAAATCGGGAGTGGGCGGGGCCTTCTAGGGGGGCGGGATGGCCAGGCGGTGACCTCAGCGGGGCGGGGCCAGGCCGGGCGCGGGCCGGCGCCAAGTGGAGACCTCCGGGGGCCGGGGTGCGGGGCGGGGCCAGGCCGGGGCGCGGGGCGGGGCGGGCGCGGGGCCCAGCGGGCCCGGGCGCGGCCGCGCAGTCGTCCCCGCCGCGCCATGGCCGCGCTCAGCTCGCTGGACACCGTGAAGCGCAAGATCCAGGCGCTGCAGCAGACGGCGGACGGCGCAGAGGAGCGCGCGCAGGGCCTGCAGCGCGAGCTGGACGCGGAGCGCGAGCGCCGCGAGAAAGTGAGCCGTGCGGGCGTGGGCCCCGACCCGGACCCCACCCCGGCCACGGCCCCCACCCCGACCCCGGCCCCCATCCCGGATCCCCGGGTCCCACCCCGGCCCCCATCCCGGATCCCCGGCCCCCACCCCGGCCCCCATCCCGGATCCCCGGCCTCGACCCCGGCCCCCATCCCGGATCCCCGGCCCCTACCCCGGCCCCCATCCCGGATCCCCGATCCCGGCCCCCATCCCGACTCCCATCCTGGATCCCCGATCCCGGCCCCCACCCCGGCCCCGGACCCCATCTCGGATCCCCGGACCCCATCCCGGATCCCTGATCCCAGCCCCCACCCCGACCCCGGACCCCATCCCGGATCCCCGGCCCGACCTTTATCCCGGCCCCTATCCCGGCTCCTGACTCCGGCCCTCCGGCCCCGGACTCCATCCCGGCCTCAGATCCTCTTCTCTGGACCCAGATCCCTTCAGATCCCCAACCCCGGCGCCCTAGAGGCCCTGGATTCCCGGTTCCGGTCCTCCGACCCCGGGACCCGCGTCGTCTCCGCTTCCCGCGCTCCGCCCGCCGCCGCCGCCTTTGTGCCGCCCGGGGAGGGGGCGCGGGGCCCGAGGGGGGGCGCGGGGCCCGGGGGGGGGCGCGGGAACCGGGGGGGACGCGGGGCCCGGGCTCCGTTGTCCGCGGGGACCCCGGCACCGGCCCCACTTTCTCGCGGTTCCCGGACTCGGGGCGCGCAGCGGGGCCCCTCCCGCCCTGGGGGGCCCGGGACCCCGGATTCTCTCCTCTCCGGGGGGACCGGAGACGCCCGCGGGAGCTCGGGGTTCGCCCCGCGCCCCGGCGGCCGCACAGCTGGTTCCGTTTAGATTGAGGGGCGCCGGCCCCCCACCTTCCGGCGCCGGCCTTTCCCTTATAAGGGAAAGCCTTTGTGGCCCTGATTGCGGAAGGGGCGGGAGGGGACCCCGGCCCGCGCCCCGCCCGCCTCCTCCCCGCGCGCCCCGCCTGCCACGTCGCGCCGGCCCGGGTCTTCCCGGAGTTTGTTCCCGACCGAGGCCGGGACGCGGGGCGGAGCCGCCGGGCCCGGCGCCGGGGCGCGGTGAGTGCGCATCCGCCCGCGCGCGCGCGCGCGCGCGCCTCGCCGAGAGCGCCAGCCCCGGCCGGCCCGGCTCCGAACCGCCGTCCTCCGATCTCGGCCTCGCCCGACAGGCCGAGCCACCGGCCCGGGCTTTTCTGGTCATTTCTCGAAACTTCCCTGGCCGCCCGCAGCTCCTTTTTCCCGTGGGGCCTGGAGTGCGGTGCCGGGCCTGCGGGCGCCCAGCCCTGGGTGGGTGGGGGAGTCGGGCCCTGCGCCCCGGCGCCCGCCCGGCCTGGGCGCCCCGGGCCCCGCCGGTGTCCGCCCCGCGAGCCGCAGCTCCACCCCACGTCTTGGAAGCCCGCGGGAGATGTCAGCGGCTTCCCTGCCCGGCTGGCTTCGAACCGCGATCCTCGGATCTCGGCCTCTTGTGAAGCTGGAATGAGGGCCGGGAGCCACGGGCGCCTCGGGTTCGGTGCTCCGAGCGCCCTGCGGCCCAGCCGGCTCTGACCGGGGCCCAGCTCCGGCCTCCCCGGCCTCCCGGGCCCGGCCTCCCCGTTCTCCCCCGGCCCTGGTATGTGGCCAAGCCGGTCCGGGCAGGACGGGGCTGGAGAATTCCAGATTCCACCGGGCAGCCATGTTCCTTCTCGTTTTGTTGGGGGGCAGGGGGCTGGGAGGAAGCAGAGCTCAGTACTGGGACTTGAACTCAGGACCCTGTGCTCGCTGCTTTGGCTTTTCGGTGGCTCGCCGGAGCCGAGAGTCTCAGGGACTTTCCTGCCCCAGCCGGCTTCGCACCGGGATCCTCACTTCCCAGCCTCCCCGGGCAGCCGGGGTGCCCGGCGAGAGCCACACTGCCTGTCCTGCTTTGTGCCAGCTCTGACCCTGCTGTTGGGGGCCTGCGCGTTCCGGGGACCGCGCCGTGCCTCAGTGGCGTGCCATGCGCGCGTCTCAGGCTCTGCTTTCTCTGGTTCGGTTGATTTTGGAGCCAGGACCTCCCCCCCCCCCAGCAGCTGGTCCCCAGCTCGGCTCCTTCTGCCTCCACTTCTCCAGTGCTGGGGTTCAGCCTGCCCTTCGCTGGTCACGTTGTTTTCCGTGGCTCCCCGCACGCCAGGCCCGGAGTGCTGGAATGTTCCTTGGTGTTGATGATGAAGCAGTCCAGCTCACAGGCCAGCATGGCAGCGCTGGGGCGCAGGGGAGAGCGACATTGAGACTGGGGGGGGCTGAGATCCCCGGGCGCCGGGGCCTGTCCTCACGCGCCCGTCCGTCCGTCTGTCCGTCCGTCCCCGCAGGCAGAGGGCGATGTGGCGGCGCTGAACCGGCGCGTGCAGCTGGTGGAGGAGGAGCTGGACCGCGCGCAGGAGCGGCTGGCCTCGGCCCTGCAGAAGCTGGAGGAGGCCGAGAAGGCAGCCGACGAGAGCGAGAGGTGAGCGGCGGGCGGGGAGGGCCGCACCGGGCGCCCTGCGGGCAGGGCGCTTCCTGGGAGGTGAGGAGAGCGGGAGCAGCCGCCGCGCGGGGAGGGTCTGCTGGCCCGGGGCCTGAGCTCGGCTCTTCAGCTCGAGCCACTTTCTGTTTTCTGGCGGTGCCTTTTCTGGAGATCAGTCTGGGCTCTCAGCTTCCTGAGCCGCGCGCCCGGCTTGGTTTGTGCTTGCGGGGCGGCCTGGGGCGTCTCCGTCCCCTCCCCGCCGGCTCCGGGCCCGTCCCTCCCCCTCCCTCCTTTCCTCTTGGTGGCTTCTCCTCTCCACCTGGGCCGCGCGGCGTCCGTGTCCGTGGGCACACCGCGGCCCCGTGGGCCGGCGCTGGCCCCCGGCCCTGCTGGTCACGGGCCGCACGCTGAGGGCGGGTTGCGGGGCGCACAGGCGCCGCGTCTGTGTGGCTGTCAATGGGCCCCTTGTCCCGGGCCGGGGCGGTGTCGCCGGGGCCCAGCCGCACGGGCACCGAGGGCGGGGAGGGGAGGCGCCGCGGGTGCAGGGCCGAGGCCCTGGGCCCCTCCCACACAGCACAGCCAGACAGACGGCCCTCAGCGGCTGCGGGGCAGGATGCCAGTGAGGGAGACCCCATCTCCAAGCGGGCCGGGCGCGGCACGCACGGGCATCATCCCCCAGGGCCGCAGAGCGGCATCCTGGGCTCTTGTCGTCCTTGGCCTGGAGATCAGGGTCTCGGGACGATCCTGCCGGGCAGATCCGAGGAGCTGGGAGGACGCGCGGCCACCGCGCCCGGCCCTGCGCCTGCGCGGACGCCACCCAGCCCGGGCCCGCCCCTCACCGGCGGGGTCAGGGGGTCAGGGCGCCCAGGCTGGGGTCGCCCCCCCCGCGGGCACTGAGGGCACCGCCCGGCCTTGCAGAGGCATGAAGGTCATCGAGAACCGCGCCATGAAGGACGAGGAGAAGATGGAGATCCAGGAGATGCAGCTGAAGGAGGCCAAGCACATCGCCGAGGAGGCCGACCGCAAGTACGAGGAGGTGAGCGCGCGGGCCCGGCGGGCGGGCGGCCCCGGCCTCCGGCCTCGCTCGGGAGCGGCTGGGACGCACGAGCGCGCCCCCGGGGGTCCCGGCGCTTTGGTGAACGCCGGGACTCGCGCTGCCCCCACGTTTCCTGCGTCCCTTGGGGACCCGGGGGGGGGGGCAGGCGGCGTGGCAGGGCGCGCGTCACAGGCCCTGCGTCCCGCAGGTGGCGCGCAAGCTGGTCATCCTGGAGGGCGAGCTGGAGCGAGCGGAGGAGCGCGCAGAGGTGTCGGAGCTGTGAGTGGCGCTGGGGGGGACGGGGTGCGCCCGACCCCAGCCCGGCGCTGAACCTCCATCCCCAGATCTCAGCCTCCCGAGGGCGGGGTGACGGCGCGGCACCAGCGCCCGGCCCGGCCCGGCCCTGTTTTGACACCCTGAGTGGCATCCCAGGAGTTGAGCGACCCCAGGAGGCATCCTCAGCCCGGGGGGGGGTCCCCCAGCGCTGTGCGCCGTGATGGGGGCTGACCTCTGCCCCTCAGGCCCCCTCTCCCCCCGTACCCGGCGGCCTTAGTGAGGCGCTCCCCCCTCTCCTGTGCGCAGGAAGTGCGGGGACCTGGAGGAGGAGCTCAAGAACGTCACAAACAACCTCAAGTCCCTGGAGGCCGCGTCCGAGAAGGTGGGTGCTGCACCCCGCTCCCCAAACGGGCCCCTGGGGCGGGGTGTGGGAAAAGGGGCACGCTCATGCGCCCGCTGCCGCCGCCTCCTGCCTGTGGCGGAGCCACCCTGGAGCCCCTGCACCCTCAGCCTGGGGGGGGGCGCACCCACCAGCTCGGTGCTGGGGTGGGGGGCCCTGGCTGACTCCTCACCCAGGCTCACTGACCTCCACCTCGGGAGTAGCTGGGATTACGGGCAGGAGTCTCGGCACCCTCTCTCTTTTTTTTTTGGGGGGGTTGGTCATGGGGCTTGAACTCTGGGCCTGGGCGCTGTCCCTCAGCTCTTCAGCTCCAGGCGAGCGCTCTACCACTTGAGCCACAGCGCCACTTTCAGTCTTCTAGTGGTTTATTGGAGATCAGAGTCTCAGGGACTTTCCTGCCCGGGCTGGCTTTGAACCGCGATCCTCAGACCTCAGCCTCCTGAGTAGCTGGGATGACAGGCGGAAGCCACCGGCGCCCGGCTTCTCTTCTGATTTTTAAGTGTTTGTTTCTCTCTCAGTATTCTGAAAAGGAAGATAAATACGAGGAAGAAATCAAACTCCTGTCTGACAAACTGAAGGAGGTGAGCGCCCCCTTGCCCCCCCCACAGCCCCCCCACGGGCACCCGGCCCGGGGCGGGGCACTGACTCTGCTCCCCTGCAGGCTGAGACCCGGGCAGAGTTTGCAGAACGAACAGTGGCCAAACTGGAGAAGACCATTGACGACCTGGAAGGTGAGTGCGTCTGGGGGGGTTAGGGGGGGCAGGGGGGGGGCTGTCGAGGTCTCGGCCGCGTCTGCTGTCTTGGTTTGGTGTCTGTGCTGGTCCCAGGGCTTGAACGGAGCACCTGGGCGCTGGCCCTGAGCTTTTTCAAAGTTCAGGCTGGTGCTCAACCTCTTGAGCCACAGCTCCACCTCCAGCCTTTGGCTGATGCGTTTGAGATGAGTCTCCCAGACGTGGCTGCCTGGGCTGGTTTTGAACCACCATCCTCAGATCTCAGCCTCCGGAGTCTCGAGAGCCGCCAGCGCCCCGCTTCCCTGGCTTGGGGTCTCCAGTGGGCCAGCCAGTTCTCAAATTCTGCCCCTGGGCCTCTGGGTGCAGTGGAAAATTCCAGCAGCTTTGGTGGAGGCAAGGTTTCCTTATAAGGACATCTACACTGTGGCCTTTGACCTGGTCTGTGGCCTTTGACCTGGTGACATCATTGGGCATGACTGTGACTGTGGGCCACGCCGTGACCCTCGCCCTGCCTCTGTCACTTCTGCCTTTTCTCTTTCCCTCACACACGTGGGCCGCCCGCCCTGACACCCTCTGTGCTGTTCCCGTCCCCCCCCCCCCCAGCCCGGCTCTATGACATCAGTGAGGAGCCGGACCACATAGTCAGTGACATGACCTCTGTAGAGAGGCCTTGGCATCCACGCCAGCCCGAGCCTCATGCTCTCCGCAGGCTGCCAGAGCTCCAGCCCTCGCATCCCAGTTCACACTCAAGCCCTCTGATAACTGCATTCCTCTCCTCCCTTTCCCACTGCTCTCTTCCCTCCTTGCTGCCTTTGGAGTCATAGGTGGGGGCCTCCCCCGCTGGGGAGTTGGGGCTACAGGACATACAAGCCAGCCTTGGTCTCAGAGGCTGGAATGGGCGTCCAAATAGCAGCAAGTGTGGTCTCCTCAGGCCTCCTGTTCTTTCTTGTCTGTTTCTCGCAGGGCTGGGGTCAGGACCCCTGTCCTCGCTGCGCACAGCCCAACCCCGATCCCGGTCACCCATCCCACTCTTACAACACAGCTAAGAAGACGGGGGACTGGGCCGGGTGCACACGCCTGGCACCCCGGCAGGACAGCTGCACTCAGCCGTGACCAAGGCCCTGTCCTTTGATGTTGTCAGTCGTGGGGCCTGAACTCTGGGCCTGGGCGCTGTCCCACAGCTCTTCAGCTCAAGGCGAGCGCTCTACCACTTGAGCCACAGCGCCACTTCCGGTTTTCTGGTGGTTCATTGGAGATAAAGAGTCTCACAGGCTTTCCTGCCAGGGCTGGATTTGAACCGCGATCCTCAGATCTCAGCCTCCTGCATCACTGGATGACAGGCAGGAGCTACTGAGCTCAGTCAAATTTCCTGGCTTTGTGCAATGAAGAGGTGCACAGATCTAGGAGACGCAGCCACCGGGCCTCATTTTGTGTATTTGCTCCACCTTGCTGCCCTGGCTTCAATTTCAGTTCTGTTTGAATCCGTTGCCATGGATACACAGGCAGCTAACAGAACCAGGCTGGGCCAGTGGGTGTGGAGGGGAAATGCATCTCCACGACAACTAAACACTGCTTGCACTCGGCCGGCGCTGCCCCCAGCTCTGTCTCTCAAGGCTGCCGCTCTAGCCCTTGAGCTCCAGCGCCACTCCCAGCTGTTGGGTGGCAACTAGAGATGAGAGTCTCACAGACTTTCCCGAGCTGGCTTTGAACCGCCACCCTCAGATCTCAGCCTCCTGAGTGAAGCCAGGATTCCAGGCGTGCACTGTCTCTGGGCCTAGAAATCTTCATTATGACTCACTCCATAGCTTCTACTGTCCATCCTGTCCCCCGTCCGTGTCCCCTGACGCCCCCCGCCCCTTGTTACACACAGATCAGCCAGGAATGTGATGCCACTCATGTCTGCGTTGCACGCAGGGCTGGGGGGGCAGTGGATTCAGTTTGCATTTCAGACAGGCAAAGAATCTTCATGTGGCAACATATTCACCATAGTTTGTGGCCCAGGCGCCAGTGGCTCATCACGCCTGTCATCCCAGCTACTCAGGAGACTGAGATCCGAGGGTCGCGGTTCAAAGCCAGCCTGGGCAGGAAAGTCCATGAGTCTCTTATCTCCAATGAACCACCGGAAAATGAAGTGGAGCTGTGGCTCAAGTGCCACCAGCCTTGAAGGAAAAAGCTTAGGGACAGCACCCAGGTCCTGAGTTCAAGTCCCAGGACTGACACACACACACAGAGAAAAGCACTTTGACTTTTAGTCTGGATGTTGGAGGTTCCGTCGACATTGTTTTAAGGATGTCCATGCTCATTCATTCGTTCCTCTCTCTTCCCCCCTCCCCCAGAGAAACTAGCCCAGGCCAAAGAAGAGAACGTGGGTTTGCACCAAACACTGGACCAGACGCTGAATGAACTCAACTGTATTTAAGGAATCCTGGAGTCCTCCCGGCTTGGCTCAGCTCGAGACTGGCGAGCGGATGCTGAGTTCACGACGGCGTATTTTGTATCAGACAAGCTTTGCGCACCGCAGGTTCAGCGCCCCCCTCGCTTCCCAGCGCACCGCTTTTTTCTAGCTCTTTTATACGCGCTACCTTTCTTCCTTAGGCAGGGTTGATTATTCTCTTCAGGCTGGATCGGGAAGTGGTGGAATATTACTCGCAGCCAGGACCGTGCTAGACCCTTCCTCGCCGCTGGCGGTGTGAACTCGCACCTGAGCGTGGCAAGTCCTCGGCCCCGGAGGGGAGCGGCCTTCCCGGGGTCCCCGGGCCCTGCGGGCCTCGAGCCGCCATCCTCGGCCCTCAGCCTCCCGAGGGGCCCCGAGCAGGAAAACCCGAGACCAAAGAGCGGACGGGGGGGGGGGCGGGATCTCCAGCCCCCCACACCCCAACAAAGCCCGGGTCAAAGGCCGGGGGCCCCGAGGTCGAGCTGCACTTGGGGCTCCATCAAGGCATGGAAGCTTCTGGATGGCCGGGGGACCCGCAGTCCGGCCCGGTCTTGGTCACCTCTCAGCGGACAGCACACCGTCCGGCCGCGGGGGGTCAGCGCCGGCGCACAGCCTCGCCGCCGCTTCTAGAAGCTTCGCCGGCCCCGCCCCGCTCCTATTTATTACGGCCGGGCCAGGCTGAGCCGCCCGCTGCCCCGTCCTGTGTCACACTCACCACTTTTTCTACATTTTTGGGCAAAATAAACTTTTACACAAACCGCGCGGTCGCTGCGTCTGTCCTCGCCGCGCCGCCCGCCCGTTCCCGCGCTCGCCTCGGTGCGCGCACTGCGGCTGCGCGCCCGCGGGGGAGGGCGGGGCTTCCGTGTCGCCACGCGCGTGCGCCGCCGGCCGGAGCTGACGGTTCGCCCCTGCGCATGCGCATCGCGCCCCCAAGCTCCGAGCCGAAGGCGCGCTGAGCTGTTGGCACCCCTCCCGGCGAGAGGGCGGGGCGGAGCCCTCCGAAGAGCCGAGGCCCCGAAGGCGGGGACGCGAGCGCCACGCCCCCCACCTGGTTCTCATTTGAAGCCCCCCGACTCTTCCCGCGGGCCAATCAGAACGCGGCTGGTCCCACACGCCGGCCAATGGGCGGCGCGGCCGAGCTGCTTCCGGCTCTGCGCGGCGCTCGCCCCTTCCTCAGTTCTCCCCGCGCAGGGCGGGGGCGGGGGCGGGCGCAGCCTCGGTGACGTCGGCGGGCCGGCAGCCAATAGGGGGCGGGTTCGCGTCTGACGGACGGATGCGCCGGCCAGTGGCGAGGCGCCGGCCGCACTTCCCGTCCGGGAGAGAGTGTAATATGGCGAAGACCTACGATTACCTGTTCAAGCTGCTGCTGATCGGGGACTCGGGGGTGGGGAAGACCTGTGTCCTGTTCCGCTTCTCCGAGGACGCCTTCAACTCCACCTTCATCTCCACCATAGGTAGGCGCCCGGGGACGGCCGGGGCTCGGGGGGCTGGGCGGGGCGCGCCCGAGGGGCCGGGGCTGCGGAGGGCGGGAGGCGGCGCCCGGACCAGGCCGGGGCGCGGGGGCCCGCGGGGGCCGGAGGGGGCGCGGGGGCCCGCGGGGGCCGGAGGGGGCGCGGGGGGCCGCGGGGGCCGGAGGGGGCGCGGGGGGCCGCGGGGCCCGGAGGGGGCCGCGGGGGCGCGGGGGCCGGAGGGGGCGCGGGGGCCGGAGGGGGCCGGAGGGGGCGCGGGGGCCGGAGGGGGCCGGAGGGGGCGCGGGGGCCGGAGGGGGCCGCGGGGGCGCGGGGGCCGGAGGGGGCCGCGGGGGCCCGAGGGGGGGCGGGGGCCGGAGGGGGCGCGGGTGGGAGGGGGCGCGGGGGGCCGTGCTGGGCGCGGGGGGCCGTGCTGGGCGCGGGTGGGAGGGGGCGCGGGGGGCCGTGCTGGGCGCGGGTGGGAGGGGGCGCGGGGGGCCGTGCTGGGCGCGGGTGGGAGGGGGCGCGGGGGGCCGTGCTGGGCGCGGGTGGGAGGGGGCGCGGGGGGCCGTGCTGGGCGCGGGGGGGCCGTGCTGGGCGCGGGTGGGAGGGGGCGCGGGGGGGCCGTGCTGGGCGCGGGTGGGAGTGGGCGCGGGGGGCCGTGCTGGGCGCGGGGGGCCGTGCTGGGCGCGGGTGGGAGGGGGCGCGGGGGGGCCGTGCTGGGCGCGGGGGCCCGTGCTGGGCGTGGGGGGCCGTGCTGGGCGCGGGTGTGAGGGCGCGAGGGGCCGTGCTGGGCGCGGGGGGCCGTGCTGGGCGCGGGGTGTGAGGGCGCGAGGGGCCGTGCTGGGCGCGGGGGGCCGTGCTGGGCGCGGGTGTGAGGGCGCGAGGGGCCGTGCTGGGCGCGGGGGGCCGTGCTGGGCGCGGGTGGGAGGGGGCGCGGGGGCCGTGCTGGGCGCGGGGGGCCGTGCTGGGCGCGGGGGGCCGTGCTGGGCGCGGGGGCCCGTGCTGGGCGCGGGGGGCCGTGCTGGGCGCGGGTGTGAGGGCGCGGGGGGCCGTGCTGGGCGCGGGGGGCCGTGCTGGGCGCGGGGGGCCGTGCTGGGCGCGGGTGTGAGGGCGCGGGGGGCCGTGCTGGGCGCGGGGGGCCGTGCTGGGCGCGGGGGGGCCGTGCTGGGCGCGGGTGTGAGGGCGCGGGGGGGCCGTGCTGGGCGCGGGGGGCCGTGCTGGGCGCGGGGGGGCCGTGCTGGGCGCGGGTGGGAGGGGGCGCGGGGGGCCGTGCTGGGCGCGGGGGGGCCGTGCTGGGCGCAGGCGCGGGGGCCGCAGGACGGCTGGGGCTGCGCGGAGGAGCCGCCGGTCGCAGGTCGGCCCGGCTCGCGTCTGGCCGCGCCGTCTTCCAACCCTGGCGGGTCTAACTTCAGCCTTAGCAGAAGTGGAAACTGAGGCCTGGAGGTTGGCCCGGGGATGGAGGGCCGGGCCTGAGTCCGGGCTGTGGGGGGGGCTCTTGCTGAAGGCCACGGCCTGCAGGTGGCAGGGGTGGAATTTGACCCCCGTGTGATCTGAGGCCCCTAAACCCGAGGCCCAGGTGACCCACCACCCCGAGGTGCCATCGCTCCCCCCCTCCCGCCCCGGGTCTCACGCCCTCCCCTGCAATCCCCACGCCATGCCGGCGTGGAGCCCCTTCCTGGCCCTGCTCCCCAAAGTGATAGCCCCGCAAGTGAGTGACAGCCTCGGGAGCCGTAGTGTGCGGCACAGGCCGCCCGGCCCTGCTTCCCATCACAGGCCCCAAGCAACCACAGTCCCTTTGCACACGGGCATGCTCCAGGGTGGCTGGACTTCACAGCCTGCCTCTGCCAGCTCCAGGAGCGGCGCTGGCCGCTGACCTCTGGCCCGGCCGGGAGGGGCAGTGAGCGGTGTCCTGCTTTCCCACGGCAGACTTCTGCTTCTCGGCTGTTCAAGGGAGATGAGAATCCCACAGAAGCCCCACGGCTCACACCCGTCATCCCAGCTACTCGGGAGGCTGAGATCTGAGGATCGTGGTTCAAAGCCAGCCCAGGCAGGAAAGTCTCTGAGACTCATCTCCACAATTAATTACCAGAAAACGGGAAGTAGAACTGTGGCTCAACGAGATAGAGCACTAGCCTTGAGCACAGAAGCTCAGGCACAGCTCTCAGGCCCCGAGTACCAGCCCCATGACCGACAAAAAAAACAAAAGCATGGATTTTCCTGTCTGGGCTGGCTGCGAGCCTCGCTCCTCAGACCTCCGTCTCCCAAGTAGCTGGGATAATGGGCTGGGAAGGTGGCTCAGTGGTAGAGCGCTTGCCTTGCATGCTTGAGGCCCTGGGTTTGATTCCTCAGCACCACATAAGTAAAAGAAAAAGGCCGGAAGTGGCGCTATGTCTCAAGTGGTAGAGCGCTCGCCTTGAGCTGAAGAGCAGAGGGACAGCGCCCAGGCCCCGAGTTCAGGCCCACGACTGGACCCCCCAAAAAAAAAAAAAAAAAAGTAGCTGGGATGACAGGCGTGAGCCATGGCGCCCCGCTGGTATTTGCTCGTAAGCAGGCACTAACCCTTTCTGAGCGTCTCTTTTCTTCAAACAAGTGCACCCTGCCTTGGCCCGTGCCCTGGGCGCAGAGCGGCAGCTGCCCAGGGCCCCGTGACCCGCACAGGCGCCCCACAGCCCTCCCCTCCCCACTCCAAGGTCCAGCTGGGGAGCCAGTCCCTGAGTCCCACGAACCAGGAAGTGGAACTCCGTGGGCTGCGGCTCCTCTCCGCCAGGCTGTGCCTCTGTTTCCCAGCCTGAGACTCCTGCCCCGCTCAGCACAGCCAACAGGAAGTCAGGAGGGCTTCCTGTCTTGCTTTTGAATTCTGGGCCAGAACTACGGTCTCCCCCATGCACGGAGGCCCCCCTCACTTGCAGGTGGCATGGGGCTTGCTCAGGGGGGCCTGGCAAGGTGGAGGCAGCATTGGAACCCGGGACCGCGCCGATCGCTCCTGTCTGTAGTCCGTGGGCACGACCGCTGTCTTCTAGGAAAGCGATCTTCACTTTGACTTTGAAGTTATGGCTTCATGAAGTTGATCCATTTTAATGAAGCACCGTGTGTTAATAAAAGCCCAGTGGAAGACAGGCCCCGGTGTGGGGAGCATTCTAGAAAGAGCCCCTCCTGGCCCTGTGCGCCTGAGCACCGGCAGGCGAGTGCCACGGTCCTGGGCAGCTTGTGCCGCTCCCGCCACTGCCTGCAGCCTGGCGCGGCCTCGGGCTCCGTGGCCGCTTAGGGCTTCAAGGGGATGCACGGCCCAGAACCCTCGCCCGCGGCTGTGCTCCCACCGGCTCACCAGGCCGTGCTGCGCTGCGCTGCGCTGTGCGTGTGTGCAGGTGTGAGCATGTGTGGCTGGGAAGACACCATGGCGTGACTTGGAGGCGGGATGGGGTGCGGCCTGGGGTCCGGGGTCCCCGCTCCCAGCAGACTCCCAGGCAGCCCCTCCCTCCTGTGGCTGTCCCTGTCCCCAGAGATCCCCAAAAGCCATGGTGACCGAATTCCTGCCCACACTGGGGCCAGGCCAGGCTTTCTAGACAGAGTCTCAGTACGATGACAGGGACCCCTGGCTGGGTATGTGCATGCGTGCAGTGCATGCATGTGTGTGTCTCGGGCTTGAACTAGGGGCCTGGGCACAGTCCCTGAGCTTTTATTCAAGGCCAGTGTTCTACCACTTGGGCCACAGGTCCACTTCCAGCTTTTTGGTGGTTCGTTTGAGGTGAGAGTCTCATGCACTTAAATCTGGGCGTGGTGGGGCTCGCCTACCGGCTCAGCTCCAACGGGAAATGAAAACTAGGCTTGTGGTCCCTGCCCTGCCCTGCCCTGGGCAGGAAGGAGGCCGCATCTCGAGTAACCAGTGCCAAAAAGTACCGAGGGTGCGGCATGCAGCACCTGCCTGGCAGGGCTGCAGCCCAGCTCCGTCCCCAGCACCTCCCCAAGAACAGAATCCCCAAGCTGTGGGGGGGCGGGGGCTGGGACGAGGAGCCGTGAGTGTCAGGGAGGGGGGCCGGGTGCCCGCGCACAGGTGTTCCACAGGCCTTCCTGCATTCTGGGGGAACTGGCAGGGGACATGGGGAAAGGGGGTTCGTTTTTTGTTTTTGAGATTTTTGAAGTAAGGTCTCACCACGCCGCCCCACACTGGCCTCCAATTCCTGATTCTCTGGCCTCTGTCTCCCCCATCTGGGATTATGCGCCTGTGCTTCCCCATCCAGCTTGCTCTGTGTGTGTGTGTGTGTGTGTGTGTGTGTGTGTGTGTGTGTGTGTGTGTGTGTCAGTCATGGGGCTTGAACTCTGGGCCTGGGCGCTGTCCCTCAGCTCTTCAGTTCAAGGCGAGCGCTCTATCCCTTGAGCCACAGCACCACTTCTGGTTTTCTGGTGATTTCCTGGAGATTAGAGTCTCATGGACTTTGCTGTCTGGGCTGGCTTTGAACCGTGATCCTCCGATCTCAGCCTCCTGAGTAGCTGGGATGACAGGCAGCGGGAGCCACCAGCGCCCAGCTTAAGTTTTTTGAGATCTGCCTCGTAGACCATGTGACTTACGCCTGTGAGCCCGGGGAACCTCTGGGCCAGTGTGAGCACAGCCATCACATGGGAAAGACACACGGACGGACGAGGGGGCTACTGGGGGCCTGGCCTGCGCACATCCCAGGGCACCGTGGGTCTGTGGGGTCTGCAGGGCACCGTGGGTCTGTGGGGTCTGCAGGGCACCGTGGGTCTGTGGGGTCTGCAGGGCACTGTGGGTCTGTGGGGTCTGCAGGGCACTGTGGGTATGTGGGGTCTGCAGGGCACTGTGGGTATGTGGGGTCTGCAGGGCACTGTGGGTCTGTGGGGTCTGCAGGGCACTGTGGGTCTGTGGGGTCTGCAGGGCACTGTGGGTCTGTGGGGTCTGCAGGGCACTGTGGGTCTGTGGGGTCTGCAGGGCACTGTGGGTCTGTGGGGTCTGCAGGGCACTGTGGGTCTGTGGGGTCTGCAGGGCACTGTGGGTCTGTGGGGTCTGCAGGGCACTGTGGGTCTGTGGGGTCTGCAGGGCACTGTGGGTCTGTGGGGTCTGCAGGGCACTGTGGGTCTGTGGGGTCTGCAGGGCACTGTGGGTCTGTGGGGTCTGCAGGGCACTGTGGGTCTGTGGGGTCTGCAGGGCACTGTGGGTCTGTGGGGTCTGCAGGGCACTGTGGGTCTGTGGGGTCTGCAGGGCACTGTGGGTCTGTGGGGTCTGCAGGGCACTGTGGGTATGTGGGGTCTGCAGGGCACTGTGGGAGTGGGGTCTGCAGGGCACTGTGGGAGTGGGGGCGGGGCCTGTGCAGGTGGGGAGGCTTTGGCTGCCCTGGCCCCGCCCCCACCCGTAGGCCCTCCTCCTGGGAGAGGAGGAAGCATGTCCTGACACCAAGACCCTGCAGGCAGGGACTGACAAGGCCATTTTCTTCTTTCAGGAATCGACTTTAAAATTAGGACGATAGAGCTGGATGGCAAGAGAATCAAGCTTCAGATCTGGTGAGTCTCCCCCACCTCTGGTGCGGGGCTTTTCCCGCCAGTCCTTGGACGAGAACTTGGGGCCTGGGCGCTGCCCCTGAGCTTTTTCACTCCAGGCTGGCGCTTTACCTCCTGAGTCTCAGGCCACTCCCAGCTTTTTGCTGGCTCATTGGAGATGAGAGTGTCGTGGGCTTTCCTGCCTGGTCTGGCTTCAAACTGGGATCCTCGGATCTCAGCCTCCTGCGTGCCTGGATGCCAGGCGTGAGCTGCTGCTCCTGCAGGCTCTCGCAGCCGGGGAGCTGCACCGCATGGCCTCTGGTCAGGCCTGGCCCAGCCCTGCGCAGGGCCCCAGCCAGGAGCCCCAGCATGGGGTGGGGGTGGGGTGCTGTCTGTGTGTCTGTGGAGATCTGGTCTCTAGCCCAGGCTGGCCTTGAACTCCAGATCCCCCTTCCTGGTGGTGGATGGCGGGAGGGTCCCCATGCCCAGCCACTCACCCTAAACCACAAAGGTCCACTGTCACCTCCTCTTTCCCTGGGGAGCCCCAGGCCAGCCCTTGCTCTGCACCCCCAGCCCCTCCCGACTCCACCCACGTTTGTTACTTTGATGATGGAGTCCTCTTTTTTTTTTTTTTTTTTTTTTTGGCCTGAGCTGGCCGGGACCATGATTTTCCTGTGTGCGCATCTTGCATGCGTTACAGTCACACTCCCCACGGCCTGGCCTTTCATCAGTTGAGATGGGGTCTCACAGCAGTGTTCGCAGTCTCTGCCTCCTAGGTTGCTAATATTACAGGTGTGAGCCGCCACACCCATAACACATCTCTTCACCGCCAATAGTGTGACCAGAAAATGGGAGATAATATTCCAGAAGCCCGGCAGGGAGCAGGGTGGTGACTGGGGTGTAGCTGTGGTCTTTGTTTGTGGTCGGGCAGAGCAGACTCTGCTGGCTGAATGTGAGGGTGAACCCCAGGAAAAGCTGGGGGCCGGGTCTGGCGGCCACACCGTGGTCTGAGCGGTCGGAGGCGGAGGACAGTGGTTCCCAGCCCGCCTGGGGCCCGCAGCCAGACCCTGCCCGAGCCCCCTGGCTCCGAGACCCCATCTCCCCCAGAAGCTGGTGCAGCGGCCTGTGCCAGCCGTCTGGGCACCAGAGGAAGCATGCTCGGTAGGCAGGCCTTAAAGAAAGAGCTGGGGGGGGCGTGGTTCAAGGGGCAGAGCGGGGCCTGGCAACCTTGAGGCCCTGAGTTCAAATCCCGGTGTTGAGGAGCAGAGGAAAGCCCCGCTCGGGCCTCCGTCACCGACCTCCCGCTTCCTCCGGCTCTAGGGACACAGCGGGCCAGGAGCGCTTCCGGACCATCACCACCGCCTACTACCGGGGCGCCATGGTAGGGCTTCCCAAAGGGCCTCCCCACTGGCCCGGCCCCCGCCCAGCCCGCCCCACTCACTGCAGTTCCTGGCCCCGCGGCCTCGGTGTGGGCGTCCCCAGGGCTGTCTTCCCGACATCGCCCGGGCCTCCCGCTACCTGGCCACCATTTCAGTTTAAATCATTAAAATCGAAATTGAGGGGCTGGGAAGGTGGCTCAGTGGTAGCGTGCTTGACTTGCATGCATGAGGCCCTGGGTTCAATTCCTCAGCACCACATAAGCAGAAAAAGCCGGAAGTGGGGCAGACACTCAAGTGGTAGAGCGCTAGCCTTGAGCTGAAGAGCTGAGGGACAGCATCCAGGCCCAGAGTTCAGGCCCCACGACTGACCAAAAAAAAAAAAAAAAAAAAAAATCGAAATTGAACTCTGCTACTCTGGAGGTGGAGGCCGGGAGGACTGTGGTTCAAGGCCGGGCGTGGCGGGACACGTGAGGCACAAGGCCCGGGTCCCAGCTTCGCAGGACGGCGCCCGCCCGCCGAGAGCACGGCCCCCAGTTCAAACCCTGCACCGAAAAGAGCAAACCTGTTCCAGGAGGCACCGGCCGCGGGACGGCGGGGACGGGCCTGGGGCAGGCGGGAAGGCCCCGAGGGCGGGGCGCGCTCCCGGCCGCTTCCCCTGTCTCTCTCCTTCTTTGTGCTGGTCCTGGGGCTCGATCAGGGCTGGGCCCTCGCTGCTGCTGCTGCTGCTGCTGCTGCTGCTGCTGCTGCTGCTGCTGCTGCTCCTGCTCCGCACTTGCGCCGCAGCCCCCTTCCAGGAGGCCCCGGAGGGGAGAGGCCCCGGGCGCCCCGGCTGGCCGGCCGGTCCTCAGACCCGGCCTCCAGGGTGGGCGGGTGACAGGCGCCAGGCAGCGGTCTTAACGGTCTCGCCCCGCCCCCTTGAGCCTCAGTTTCCCGAGGAGTGGCAGGATCTGGGCGTTGCGGTGCGGGTGGCCGGCGGGGGGGCTGGGTCTGGGGTGCCCTCCCGCCCTGAGCCCCGCGTCCCCCAGGGCATCATGCTGGTCTACGACATCACCAACGAGCGCTCCTTCGACAACATCCGCAACTGGATCCGCAACATCGAGGAGGTGGGGGCGCGGGGCTGGGGGCGGGGCCGAGGAGGGCAGGGGCGGGGCCGGGGAGAGGCGGGGCCGATGGTGGCAGGGGCGGGGCCGGGGAGGGCAGGGGCCAGGGAGAGGCGGGGGCAGGGCCGGGGACAGGCTGGAGGCGGGACTGGGGAGAGACGGGGAGGGGAGAGGCGGGGGAGGGGCCAGGGAGGGGCGGGGGCGGAGGGGAAGGGGCGGGGGCGCTGAGGAGGGGATGAACTGGGGGCGCGGATGGGGCACAAGGGAGGAGCTGGGGGCGGGGCCTGGACGGGAGGAGCTGGGGCGGGCCTGCAGGGGAGGAGCTGGGGCGGGGCCTGCAGGGGAGGAGCTGGGGCGGGGCCTGGACGGGAGGAGCTGGGGCGGGCCTGCAGGGGAGGAGCTGGGGCGGGGCCTGCAGGGAGGAGCTGGGGGCGGGGCCTGCAGGGAGGAGCTGGGGGCGGGGCCTGGACGGGAGGAGCTGGGGCGGGCCTGCAGGGGAGGAGCTGGGGCGGGCCTGCAGGGGAGGAGCTGGGGCGGGGCCTGCAGGGAGGAGCTGGGGCGGGGCCTGCAGGGAGGAGCTGGGGCGGGGCCTGCAGGGAGGAGCTGGGGCGGGGCCTGCAGGGGAGGAGCTGGGGCGGGGCCTGCAGGGGAGGAGCTGGGGCGGGGCCTGCAGGGGAGGAGCTGGGGCGGGGCCTGCAGGGAGGAGCTGGGGCGGGGCCTGGACGGGAGGAGCTGGGGCGGGGCCTGGAGGGGCGGGGCGGGCCGTGGCAGCCTTGCGTCCCTGCAGCACGCGTCGGCGGACGTGGAGAAGATGATCCTGGGGAACAAGTGCGACGTGAACGACAAGAGGCAGGTGTCCAAGGAGCGGGGCGAGAAGGTGGGTGCGCCGTCCGTGGGCTGCGGGGTCTCGGTTGGAAGCCGCCGGGGTGGGGGGGGTTCCCGAGACGCGATCCCGGCGGAGCCCCGCGCCGCCCGGTAACCAGGATGCGGTTGCCCCGCAGCTGGCGCTGGACTACGGCATCAAGTTCATGGAGACCAGCGCCAAGGCCAACATCAACGTGGAGAACGTGAGCCGCGGGGGGGAGGGGGGGGTCCCGGCAGGGGGCGCGGGTCAGGGGGCGGGGCCGCGCCCCTCCCCGCGCTGACACCCCCCCCTTCCCCCGCAGGCGTTTTTCACGCTCGCCAGGGACATCAAAGCCAAAATGGACAAGAAGCTGGTGAGTGGGGGGCGGGGCGGAGCTGGCGGCCGCGCGTGCGCACGCGCGACTGCTGACCCCGCCCCGTGACCGCAGGAGGGCAACAGCCCGCAGGGCAGCAGCCAGGGCGTGAAGATCTCGGCGGAGCAGAAGCGCAGCGGCTTCTTCCGCTGCTCGCTGCTGTGAGGCCCGGGGACCCGCACCCCGCACCCGGGGACCCCGCACCCGCCCGGCCGCCGGACGCAGCCGAGACGTCGTCACGCGCCACGGGGACCTGGAGCCAGGACGCGGCGCGGCCTCCCGCGGGCGAGGACACGAGGGCCGGCCGCGGACGGTGACAGTGGGGCCGGCGGCGGCGCGAACTGAGCCCGGGGCCGCGCGGCCGCCCCGGCCCGGCCCGGCCCGGCCCGGACCCAGGTTTCTAGCGGAGATTTATTTTTCCAGACCCGCCGGGCCGCCGCCCGCCCGGATCCTTTTTTTTGAATTAAAAGCATCGACCGGCACCGCCTCCCGCGGCCTCCGCGCGCTCTGCGCACACAGGGCTCCCGCCGCCGCCCCGGCCAGGGCCTCCTGCGGCCCCGGCGGCCCCGGCCCCGCCAGCCTGGGCGCCGTAGGAAGCCCAGGTCTCGAAGAAACAAAGGGCCCGACGGAGCCCCAGCCTGCGGCCCCTGGCACTGCCCCCGCCAGACACTCGGCTCAGGGGACCCCAAGGCCCCTCCTAAAGCTGCAGAGCCCCCAGCCTCCGCCAGCGCCCCTGCCCTGGCCTGCCCTGCGCTGGCCTGCCTGCCCTGGCCTGCGCCGGCCTGCCCTGGCCGGCCTGCCCTGCCCTGGCCTGCCCTGGCCTGGCCACGGCGCCGGGCCTGGTGGGAAGCTGAGGCTGCTGGGCCTGACAGTGCAGTGAGCCCTGGGCCTGGGCTTGAACCCAGCGCCTCAGGCGTCGTCACTCCTGAGCTGTGTGTCTGTGTGTGTGTGTGTGTCTGTGTACAAAGTTGTCACTCTACCACTTGAACAACACCTCTTGTGCTTTTTGGTAGTTCACTGGAGAATCACATGACTTTCCTGCCCAGACTGGCCTTGAACCACAACCCTCAGATCTTAGCCTTCTGAGTAGCTGGAATTACAGGCGTGAGCCACCACCGCCACATTTTCATTTCATTTCGTTTGACATGAGTCTAGGTACTGGACCCAGGCTGACCTGGAGCTTTAACCTCCCAGTCTCCCCTGTGCTGGGAGTCCAGGAATGCACACCTTCACTGGTGATGAGTTGTGGGCTGGAGGCCCAGCCTTGGGCCCAAACCCTCCCTGGCTGAGACCTTCTCCCTGTGCAGAATGACCTGAGGCTGAACAGCCAGTGAGGAGAGACCTAGGTCTGGAGCTCAGGCACCCCAAGGGGCTGTCTGTGTCCTTCAAACAGCTTCCTCTTTCACATCTTGTCTAAGAATAGCTTGGGGTGGGGGAGCGGGGCTCAGGGGCAGAGACTGATGGCCCAGGCAAGGCTCAGGGCTACAGCCCTGCAAAGAATAAGTTACAGCATGTGGCTTTCAGCCATCCTTAGCTAGCCATGGCGTTGTGTCCTGATAACCCATCATAAACGCTAGAAATACCCTAAGTAAAAATAATTCGCGGGCACCGGTGCCTCACACCCGTCATCCTAAATACTCAGGAAGCTGAGTTCTGAGGATCAGGGTTCAAAGCCAGACCGGACAGGATGAACCACCAGAAAACCAGAAGTGGTGCTGTGGCTCAAGTGGTAGAGCACTCGCCTTGAGCTGAAGAGCTGAGGGACAGCGCCCAGACCCAGAGTTCAGACCTCACAACCAACAAAAAAATTAATGTATTGGGAGGCAGAGATTCGAAGATTGAGGCCAAACCGACCCCTCCAAGAAAAAAAGACCTCAGTGTTAGAAATAATTTGGCAGTGGCTGGGAAGGTGGCTTAGTGGTAGAGTGATCGCCTAGCATGCATGAAGCCCTCGGTTCGATTCTGGAGTACACGTACAGAGAAAAGCCCGAAGTGGGGCTGTGGCTTGAGCAAAAGAAGCTCAGAGACTGCCTAGGCCCTGAGTTCAAGACCCAGGACTCACACAGAAATAGCTCTGGATGTTGGGGTGTCATGGAGGACGCTAACTCCACAAGGCCTTTTGCAGGAGGGGCGCCATCAGCCAAAACCCTGTTGTGCAGCACACAGCAGGAAGACCGCTCCCTTTTTATCCCTAACCAGGCCTCGCCCACACCTCTTTCCCCATTGGCTGAACTCAGGCCCTTCTATCCCCATTGGCTGAGCTCAGGCCCCTCCACCCCCATTGGCTGAGCTCAGGCCCCTCCACCCCCATTGGCTGAGCTCAGGCCCCTCTACCCCCATTGGCTGAGCTCAGGCCCCCCTCTACCCCCATTGGCTGAGCTCAGGCCCCCCCTCTACCCTCACTGGCTGAGATCAGGCCCCTCTACCCTCCATTGGCTGAGCTCAGGTCCACAATCTGCAAAAGGATGTGGCTTAACTTAAGGAGCTTTCTTTTCCTTTTGGTCGCGGCTGGTACTCTGCCTCAGCGCCATCTCAGCTTTTTCCCTCAGAGTGAGCGCTCTGCTACTCAGAGCCACAGCTCCACTTCTTGATTTCCCGTGGGTAATTGGAGATAAGAGTCACAGAATTTCCTACCTGGGCTTGTTTCCAACCTGGATCCCCAGGTCTCCGCTTCCTGAGTGGCTAGGATCACAGGTGTGAGCCACCATGCCTGGCTTGGGTTTCCAGAAGTGTCCAAGGGGATGCCTTCATGAAAAGCGCTCAGGAAAAGTTTGTAACTAAAGTGTAATTCATGAGGGCCCAGTCACCTGGCCAAAGCCGGAACCTTCAGAAAAGCAGTTCCCTGAGGGTTAAAAAGGTTAATGTATTGGGAGGCAGAGATTCGAAGATTGAGGCCAAACCGACCCCTCGGTTTGGAAGCAAACTGCTAGTGTGCACAGCACCCAGCAAGCCCAGGGTCCCGGCTGCATAGGAGGCAGAGGTTGCCGGAGGCAGGGCATGAAACACTACACAGTAACTAAAGCTTGAAGGGCCGGAGGCCTGGCTGCGTGGTAGAGCGCCTCCCTCGGAAGGCTGAGTCCCTCAGGTCCAGTCCCAGCTCCACCTAGAAGAATATTGAATTCACCTGGTGCCAGTGGCGCACCCCTGTCATCCCAGCTATTCAACAGGCTGAGATTTGAGGATCGCAGTTCAAAGCCAGCCCAGGCAGGAAAGTCCACAAGACGCTTATCTCCAACTAACCAGGAAAACAGGGAAATGGAAAACTGTGGCTCAAGTGGTAGAGGGCTAACCTTGAATAGAAAGCTCAGGAACAGCACCCAGGTCTAGAGTTCAGGTCCCAAGACTAGCCAAAAGGAAATACTGAATTCAATTCGTGTTGTATATTGAGTGCCTCAAACGCTTGGGAGTTGAGCAGATTGGGAGACGTAATGTCTTGCTTACACTGAAGGGAAGTGATTTTTTTTTTCTGTTTTTTTTAGTTGGTTGTGGGTCTTGAACTCTGGGCTGAGCCAGGCGCTGTCCCTCAGCTCTTCAGCTCAAGGCGAGCCCTTTACCACTTGAGCCTCAGCACCACTTCCAGTTTTCTGGCGGTTTATTGGAGATCAGAGTCTCACAGACTTTCCTACCTGGGCTGGCTTTGAACCTCGATCCTCAGATCTCAGCCTCCTGAATAGTGAGGATGACAGGCGTGAGCTCCCAGCGCCCAGCTTGATTTCTTGACTGCTGTACCAAGGGTGAAAAATGTGTGTGTGTGTGTGTGTGTGTGTGTGTGCGTGTGTGTATGTGTGTGTGTGACGAGTTTGCATATCAACAGCCCCACGCTTACGTGTAATAGTTTCAGTTTATTAAGCACTTCAAATACCATCCATACCAATCACTGACTCCTTCGCCTAATCCTACTGAGCGAGCCCATGTGCGCCGTGGGCATCCTCGGGCTGCTCCGGGTCGCTGGAGGGAGAAGCGGCTGCCTGGCCGGGGCGGGTGCAGCGGAGGGAGGGTCAGTCCGATGTGGAGACACCGCGCTCGGGGAGGCTGACTCACTGGCCTCCGCTGCCTGTGTGTCTGTATGTTCATTTCTGCCGATGTCTGAGTACTGGGGTTGCCTTGGTGACGGCTTGCTGCTGGTCAGGTCTGGTGATGGATGAGGGCTGGTTGGGCTCACCGGGTGTGTTCTTACCACCCCTTCCATAGCTCTACCTTCTAACTCCTACTTTAACTTTTCATGTCTTTCACAGCACACATGCACTCAATATATCTATTGAATAGCCTACCATAGCACCACACATCATGTCAGTATTTAATTGCACACATCACGTGTGTATTTAATAGCACACTATGTCATGTTCAATAGCATGCTATGTCAGTATTCTCAGATTCACTACCGGGGCATTGTGTATTTGCAGACAGGGCCTTTGTACCCCAGGCTGGCCTTGAACTCACAACCCTGTTGCAACCCAAGGTGACCAGCAGCTGAAACTGGACAATGAAACTGGGTTTGGGGCACAGAGGGAGGCCTGAGCCTCTCACCAGCAACAGACTCCCCAAGGTCCAGTTCACAGGGCTTTTATTGATTTAGGTTCACAGGACCTTTAGGAATTTAGGGATGGGAGTGTGTGAAGAAATCAAGGCAGCAATCTCTGAAGTTAGAGACACCACCATGAAGCAGTGACCTCCAGACCTTAGGAAGCCCTGGCCAGGCTGGAAAAACCGCCATTTGCATAACAAGCCTTTATCTAACGCCCAGATCTGGGAAGCTTTGAGTTCTGATTAACTCCCTTTTAGGGGAGAGCGGAGGATGTCTGTAATGCCGGGATCAGTTGGTCTTTCTCGTGGGCCACTCCTGGCTTTCTGAGAGTCAGAGAACTGGCATTCCAGGTCTTCGGAACCCTCAGCCTCTGCGGGCCTGCCATTACAGGTGTGACCCCCAGCCCGGCTTGTTTCCCTCCTTGGCTTCTAACAGTGTCTTCTCCAGCAGGGTTTGCCCTGCCCTGCAGGTGAGTCGGTGAATGAACTCAGGAGATTGAGCGACCTGATGATAGACTGGATGGAGTGAGCGGAGAGCGGATAAAGGAGTGATTGAGTTAGTGAATGGATGGATGGGTGGGATGCTCACAGAACAGTAGATAACAGGAATTGCAGTTGAGGGGAGGAGCCTAAGCCCCCCAGGACATCGGGGACCCCTGCCCCACCAGAGCTGGGCCGGTGCTGTGGCCACTGGCCCCATGGGAGGTGAGTGTCCCCTCCCCTTCAAGCCCCTCCCCAGGCACCCAAGGCGAGCCCAAAGCTACTGGGTGAGCCCACACCAGAGGCTTCTGACAGCGCTGGGGATCTAAGCTCACACTGTCACCCCAGCTGCTCGGACGGCTGATGTGAGCACTGCAGTTCAAGGCTGGCCTAGGTAACCTTTACAGGACCCCCATCTGGACAAAGGCACGGGCACGGTAGCGCAGGTCTGTCATCTCGGGACACAATTTAGAGACAAGGCTGGAAGGGGGAGGGGCCGCGGAGGTGCAGCAAGGCCCTGAGTTCAAACCCCAGCGTGGAAGAGGAGCAGGAAGAAAACGCCAGCCTGCTGGATTCAGGGGTGCAGAACCAGAGCCCCGAGAGGCTGAGCCTCATGCGCGAGGGGGGCCACCGACACCAGCGCCCCCTTCCGCCCCCGGGGGTGGGGGAGCAGGGCTGAGTCCCCCGGGGCTACCCTGCCGCACTGGGCGGCCGCCTGGGCGGAGGAGGAAGTGGTTTGCTTGTGGGTGCCTGGGCCCCGCCCAGGGGGCCCAAGATCCTGCCGTTGGGCTCCGGGGGTTGCGATGCCCTGGGCGTTGGGGTCACCCGCGGGCTCCTCTCTGCTGGCATCCAGGACACGTGGGCACGCCATCAAGGCCCGGGCTCTGGCCCTGCCCCGCCCCGGCCTCACCTGCACCCCAGGAAGTGGCTGTCCTGCTGACGCTCACCCCCGGAATCGAAACCCAGCGCCCAGCACCTCCAGGTACACAGGCTCGGCCTGGGGGCCCGGGGAGCAGGGGTGGCTGGGGAGGAGAGGACATTACTATCATCGCAGGCCAGAGGCTGGGGAGTTGAGGCCGGCTTGGGGTCACAGTGCACCCCACCTCAAATACTTACCCAAAGGAAGCCCAGCCAGGAAGGCGGCAGGAGGGAGCTGTGCAGGCCTGGCCCCCGTGGGGGTTTTTGTTATTTGTGGGTCAGTCCTGGGGCTTGAACTCAGGGCCGGGGCGCCGTCCCTGGGCTGCTTTTGCTCGAGGCTCGCGCTCTACCACTTAGCCACAGCGCCACTCACGTCCGGCTTTTTCTGCTTATGGGGTGCTGAGGAATGGACCCCAGGGCCTCATGCATGCGAGGCGAGCGCTCTACCGCTGAGCCCCTTCCCAGCCCCGACCCTGGGTTGGTTTGTTTTCCTCCCTCCAGACCTCGCCCCTGCCTCTTCCCTGGAAGAGGCGGCTGGAGGCCATGGTGGCCTCCGCCACCTGCAGAAACCTTGTTTTTTCCTTTGAGACCAGGCCTCGCTGCAAAGCCCCTGGCCAGGCCTGGGACTGCGGGGTTGCAGGCGGGCCCCGCGCTGGGGCTCCGTGGGCCGCAGGGACAGTGCAGCTGCAGCCGGAGGCCGCGCGAGACTCTCCGTGATGGAAGCCGGGAAGCCACCCCGGCCGCCCCCGCCGCTGCCCCCACGGCTGGACTGGTTCGTGCACATGCAGGGGGCCCAGCTGACCGTCGAGGGGATCCCCGAGTGGTTCCACGGGACCATCTCCCGAGAGTGAGCCCCCCCCCCCCGCACAGCGCCACTTCCGGTCTCCTGGTGGTCCCGCCGACTGTCCTGCCCGGGCTGGCTTCGAACCCTGAGCCGCTGGGAAGACGGGCGGAGCCGCAGTGCCAGCTCCGATCCACTGTCGCCCCTTGCCCCAGCCCACCAGTGCGGGACTGGAGGCATTTAGGAGGTGAAAGGTCACCCTCGGGCGGGTGTCCCCTTCCATCCGGGCTTGTGAGGTCCTTGGTGCGAAGGCCTGTGCTCCCCCGCCCCACAGCCTCCGAGGCCGGGGGGGGGGGCGGCTGGACCCCGCATCTCCTCGCTGTGGGCGCCTTTCTAGGGCTGCGGAGAAGCTGCTGGAGCCCCAGCCGGCGGGGTCCTTCCTCATCCGGGTCAGCCACAGCCACGTGGGCTACGCTCTCTCCTGCAGGTAAGGCCGGGCGGGGCGGGGCTGGGTGAGCTGGGCGGGGCGGGGCTGGGTGAACTGGGCGGGGCTGGGTGAGCTGGGCGGGGCGGGGCTGGGTGAGCTGGGCGGGGCGGGGCTGGGTGAGCTGGGCGGGGCGGGGCTGGGTGAGCTGGGCGGGGCGGGGCTGGGTGAACTGGGCGGGGCTGGGTGAGCTGGGCGGGGCGGGGCTGGGTGAGCTGGGCGGGGCGGGGCTGGGTGAGCTGGGCGGGGCGGGGCTGGGTGAGCTGGGCGGGGCGTGGCTGGGTGAGCTGGGCGGGGCGGGGCTGGGTGAACCGGGGTGAACCGGGCTGGGCGGGGCTGGGTGAGCTGGGTGGGGTGGGGCGGGGCTGGGTGAGCTGGGTGGGGTGGGGCGGGGCTGGGTGAGCTGGGCGGGGCGGGGCTGGGTGAGCTGAGCTGGGCGGGGCTGGGTGAGCTGGGCAGAGTGGGGCGGGGCTGGGTGAGCTGGGCTGGGCGGGGCTGGGTGAGCTGGGCAGAGTGGGGCGGGGCTGGGTGAGCTGGGCTGGGCGGGGCTGGGTGAGCTGGGCGGGGCGGGGCTGCGTGAACTGGGGTGGGCGGGGCTGGGGCCGGGCGGGGCGGGGGTCCCCAGGCCTCCTCCCCAGCCTCACCGCCTCCCCAGCACTGATGTGGAGAGACCCGGGCCGGGGAGCAGACCGAGGGGGCCAGCCTCTGGCTGCAATCCTCCTCATCTGTCTCCTCTGGGCTAAGGCCAAACCCCGCACCGGGCAGTTAGGTAAACTGAGGACCGTCGGGCCAGTCTGGCCCGGAGAGCCGGCTCTGGGGACCGAGCCACGCGCAGCCACCGTCTCCCTGGGGTGGCAGTGTCACACGGGGAAACTGAGGCATGGCAGCCGGGACACGGGGGGCAGCGGGCAGCCCGGCGTGGACGCGACCCCCGCCCCGCGTGTCCCCGCAGAGCCCCGGGCTGCTGCCGCCACTTCATGGTGAAGCTGCTGGACGACGGCCGCGTGTGCGGCCCCGACGGGGAGGCCCATGCCTCGCTGGACGCCCTGGTCACCCGCCACCGGCGGACGCCGCTGCGGCCCCACGGGGACCTACTCACCCAGGCCTGCCCGCAGGTGAGGGCCCGCCCCGCCCTCCTGACCCCACTCGCCCCTGTCTCCCCCGTCCCCGCCCCGGGACGTGCCCGGGGGTGCCGGCGCGAGGCTCAGAGGGCGTGGCCGGCGCAAGCGGCAGTGGGTGGGACTTACACCGCCGCAGGGACGGGTGGGCGTGGCCTGCCTGAGGCCCGGCAGTGGGCGGGACCTCTCCCTACACCACTAGGTGGGCTGGCGAGCGTGAGACCCAAGCTTTGGGCGGGGCCTATATGCCCTACAAGGCCCGGTGGGTGGGGCCTGTTTGAGGCCCATTTGTGGGCGGAACTTATACTCCCTACAAGGCTCCGTGGGCAGGCGGGCCTCAGACCCAGCGGGGGCGGGGCTCGTCTCCCTATGAGCCCGAGTGGGCGCGACCACCGATGAGACCGGAAGTTGGGCGGGGCGTATCTCCCTATAAGGCTCGGTGGGCGTGGCCAACCTGAGACCTGTCTGTGAGTGGAGCAGGACTCCCTACAGGCTCGGTGGGCGTTACCAGCCCAGAGACCCGGCTGTGGGCGGGGATCCCCCACCCGCAGGGTCCGGTGGGCGTGGCCTAGGCCCGGCCTTCCCGGGTGGGAAGTGCAATCCCCGACTCCCCCGGCGGCGGGGTCCCCGCCCGCCTCCCCCTGCGGAGCTGACCCCCGCTCCCCTGCAGGAGGACCCCGCACACGCCGACTACGCCGACCTCCTCCTGCAGTGGCGCGCGCTGTCCGCGGCCAGCCCGGCGCTGGGTCCCGGGGACCCCCGCAGCCCTGCCCCGGGTCCCGAGGAGGTAGGCGCGGGGTGCCGGCACCCGCACGGGTCTACGGCGCAGCCTGGGAGTCCGCCAGCCTCGCCGGGACTGGGTTCCCGGCAGGCGCTGCCGTGCCCGGCCCGGGGCCGGAGGACGCACGGCTGGGGGGTCAGGCTGGGAGCCCCACGATCCCAGCCTCCGGCCCGGGTGGGGAGCGTGCGCCGCGCCCCATCTCGAGGGTGACCGAGGCCCCCAGCCCCCCTCTTCCGTTTCAGGGTCCCCGAAAGCCAGCGGCGAGCCCTCCGTGGTTGGAGCCCTCGTGCCCCGGCCCCCGGCAAGGCGCCCTGGCGCGGAGCGGGCGGAGCCTGCGGGCGCCGTCCGAGGCGGGCGGGAGCCGCCCCGCGCCCACCGCCCCGCCGCCGCCCCGGGACTCGGGGGCCTGGCCGGACGGCGCGGGGCCCCCACGCCCGCAGGGGGCCGCGAACCCCGGCCGCACGGCCGCCAGGACCCGCAGCTGGAGCGAGGTGGGCGCGGCGGTCAGCCGCTGGCAGCGCGCGCTGGCCCGGGCCTGGTCCAGCCCCGCGCCCGGGCCGCGGCCCCCCGAGGCCCCGCTCCCCGAGGAGTACGGGCGCCCGCCGCCCTTCGCCCCCGGGCACGAGGCGGCCGCGCCCGTGCCGCACGCGGGGCGGTGACGCCGGCCGGCCCGGGTCAGCGCAGCGGCCCCACGCCCCGCCCTGCCGCGCCCCGCGCGCCATCCCGGCTGCAACTCCGGACCTGGGCGCCGCCCCTGAGCGCTCTACCGCCCGGGCCGCAGCGCCACTTCCGGTTTATTGGAGATGAGAGTCTCACGGACTTTCCTGCTGGGGCTGGCTTTGAACCGCCAGCCTCAGACCTCAGCCTCCTGAGTGGTCGGGATGACAGGCGGGAGCCGCTGGCCCGACTCAGCCCTTGTGCAGTCATTGTCCGCCCCGCAGATGAAAACAAGACCGCGACTCAGCCCTGGTGCCTGGAGTGTCCACGCGTGATTCCCACGCAGGGCGGTGCTGTGGTGGGTGCGGGGCCGGCGTGTGGGGTGCTCAGGGAGCTGCTCCACGAACCGCGCGGATGTGGGGATCCCGGGGTGTGGGGGTCCTGGCGCCTCCCCGATGCCGGGGGGGGGGGGGGGCGCCTCCACCCCGCAGCCTGGAGCGGCGGCTGCAGCCGGGGCCCCTCACTCCCGCCAGCTTTGAGGGTCTCAGTCGCGCTCAGGCGGGGTGGGGTGCGGAGCTCCCCGAGTTCCCCGGATGCCGAGCCCCCGCCACGGTCCCGGCCACGCCGCGGGCTGCGATCGCATCTGTTTTAGATTTAAGACCAAAAAAAAGTTCCCAGCGCTGGGGAGGCCGCGAGGGGAGGATCAAAACTTCCCGGGGGGGGCAAGGGTGGGGGGAAGGACAGACAGACAGAGCGCCCAGCCAGCCAGCAGGTGTGACTGTTTATTCTCACAGCTCTGGGAGTGTCCGCGGGGGCCTCCCGGGCCTCTCCTCGTGAGCGTCAGATGCGGATGTGGAAGGTGCTGTGGACACAGGAGCGGAGTGGTCACCGCACACCGAGGCCGCCCCCCGGTCGTCCTGCTCAGACCCCTCCCAGGATGGGGTGCCAGGGGGCGGAGCCAGGCCCCGGGGCCATAGGCGTGGTTACCCGGCGTGGGCCCGCCTGTGCCCCCCTGAGCCCCGGCTTCCCTCTCCCCGAGGCCACACAGGAATCCACAGCGGGATCTGGGGGGTCTGGGGGCTGGCTCCCGGTGCGTGAGCGGATGTGGGGCGCAGCGGGGTCTGGGGGGGCTGGCTCCCGGTGCGTGAGCGGATGTGGGGTGCAGCGGGGTCTGGGGGCTGGCTCCCGGTGCGTGAGCGGATGTGGGGTGCAGCGGGGTCTGGGGGCTGGCTCCCGGTGCGTGAGCGGATGTGGGGTGCAGCGGGGTCTGGGGGCTGGCTCCCGGTGCGTGAGTAGATGTGGGGTGCAGCGGGGTCTGGGGCTGCCCCCAGCGCACTCAGCGTCACCTGAGGAAGTCGGGCGCCCTCAGGATCATGTTCTGGAAGTCCTCCAGCGACAGCCGCCCGTCGTGGTCCCCATCAGCCTCGTCCAGAACCTTCTCGCACACCAGCCGCACCTCCTCAGGGCTCAGCTCGCCCCGCGTCAGCCTCCGCACCGTCTGCTCCAGGTCCCCCGCGCAGATGTAGTCGTCGTCGTTGAAGTCTGTGGAGCGCACGGGAGGCCGGGGCTGGGGATCGGACCCGGGCCCCCCTGGCTAGCCTGCTAGGCTGCTGCTGCCCCACCTGAGCCACAGCGCCATGCCGGCTTTTTCTGCGTACGTGGTGCTGAGGACTCGAACCCAGGGCCTCATGCATGCGAGGCGAGCGCCCTACCACTGAGCCACCTTCCCAGCCCCTCTGGCTTCCTGGGAGAAAGACTCGGGGCTGGGTGCGGCCGTGTGCGGTGGCTTAGCCCCGGGGGCGAGGCCCAGCCGGAAGGGCTGAGCGCGGGCAGGGGGCGCGGGGCACCGGGGACCTCGGGGAGCCACGGACGCCAGCCCCCCCTTGCCCACCGTAGATTCTGAAAGCGTAGTAGGCCTTCAGGTCCCGGGGCGCCATCTCGCTCATCACCGAGAACATGTCCAGGAAGTCGTCCAGGGTCATGTGACCGTCGCCCTCCTCGGAGAAGACCTGCGCGATCCTCTGGCGGAAGGGGTTGTCCTGGGGACCGGAAGGACCCGGCTGTGCGCCCGCCTGGGCCCCTCAGCCCCAGCGTGGGGGTTCCGGTGAGCAGGTGACCCAGTCACAGTGAGTCACTCACCTGCTTGCTGTGATTGGCTCCTGGAAGGAACGAGCTTCTCCCAGGGGCTCATCACTGCTTACTGCGTGATTGGCTTTCGGTTAGGCGCACGAGCCAAAGCGACCAATCAGAGCGTCTCATTCACCTGTCTACTGTGATTGGCTGTTGGATGGGCATGTGACTCAAACTGACCCATCAGCGATCCTCACCGGGTACTTGTGATTGGCTCTTAAGAGGACATGTTTCTCAAAGAGACCAACCAGAGAGAGACTCATTCATTTTCTATCTGTGATTGGCTCGTGGGTGGATACGTGACTCAGACTGACCAATCAGAGGCTGCCTGAGCGGGAAGCCTTGTTCTGAGAGGAGCTGGGAGGTGCAGGCGAGGCCTGAGCCCCCTTGGAGGCCCTGGCTCCAGCTGCACGGACACTGGCTGTGCGCCCGGACTTTTACTTGGTGTCTGGCGTTCCAATCCATTCAGCTCCCTGTCAGTGAGCTTTTCATCATTCACAATAAAGTGCAACCAGCCCAGGGGCCTGTCCTCATCCTCAGATCGGAAAGACTACGCGTCGGAAAGACTAAGGGCATCAGCACCAAATGCACAAGCTCTTTACTGAGCGCATGGCAGTCCTGGGGCTCCACCGGGGCCTGGGCGCCATGTCTGAGCATTAGCTCTACCACTTGAGTCACAGCTCCACTTCTGACTTTTCTTGGAAGTTAATTGGAGATACAAAGTTCAGGAGCTGGGCACCAGTGGCTCACCTGTCATCCTAGCTACTCAGGAGGCTGAGATCTGAGGATCACAGGAGTTCAAAGCCAGCCCGGGCAGGAAAGTCCGTGAGACTCTTATCTCCAATAAACCACCAGAAAACTGGAAGTAGGGGGCTGGGAAGGTGGCTCTATGGTAGAGTGCTTGCCTTGCATGCACAAGGTCCGGGGTTCCATTCCTCAGCACCATATACACAGAAAACCCTGAAGTGATGCTGTGGTTCAAGTGGTAGAGTGCTTGCCTTGAGCTGAAGAGCTGAGGGACAGCGCCCAGGCCCAGAGTTCAGGCCCCACAACTGACAAAAAAAAGGAATCTCATGGACTTTCTTGCTGGGGCTGGCTTCAAACTTCAATCCTCAGATCTCAACCTCCTGAGTGGCTGGGATTACAAGCGTGAGCCCAGGTGCCCGGCGTCCTTCCTGCCTGTTCATTTCAGCCTTGTTCTCCGTGGCTGTGTGCGTGAACCATCTGTGAAGTGGGATGGTTGCAGGACCCTCACAGGGCTGCGATGGGACATCATCTCTACTCTGTGGTGGCACCTGGCCTGTGATGTGGACATACCTTCAGCTCTGGCATGCTCCCAATGAGCTCGTACGGCACCTTCACGCGGGGGCCGCTGGTGTAGTCCAGGGGCACAAGCTGTGGGGCCAGGTCCTGGTAGCGGTAGAAGAGCCTGCAGGGAGAGTGGGAAGGGGCAGAGCTGACACCTTCTGGCAAGGGACCCACCCTCCCCTCTCCATCCCGACGCCGCCCTCCCCTCCCTGGGTTACATCAGGAGCCACAGGGCTTGATTATATTCTTGTTTGTCACCCCAGCTACTCAGGAGGCTGAGATCTGAGGATCATAGTTCAAAGCTAGCCTGGGCAGGAAAGTCTGTGAGACTCGGATCTCTAATAAACCACCAGAAAACTAGAAGTGGTGCTGTGACTCAAGTGGTAGGGCACCAGCCTTAAGCAAGAAGAGCTCAGGGACAGTGCCCAGGTACCGCGTTCAAGCCCCACCACTGACAAAAAAAAAAAAATATGAAAGGTGTTTTAAGAAGCACTGGAAGCATAGCTCCTTGTGACCGGTGGAGTCCCACTGGTAGCTGTCTTGGGCCGGGCTGAGCCATCACAGAAGACTTTGAGGTTCCCAATCTATCAGGGCAATGGGAGCTTCTGGAGGACATGGTATCTAAGCCCTTGAGAGAAGGATCTAGAACCTCAGTCAGTCCTGAATTCTGTTTCCCTCAAGCTCCCTAAATTTCAGCTTCTGAGTGGCTGATTAGGTGACTTGGTTTCCCTGTCTGACAACGGACCAAGGTCCAGCCTTGGATCTGGTGGGGGGAGGGCTCTGCCCGTGAGGCCTGACCCGAGGTCGGCCTGGCCTTGCCTCAGTTTCCCTGGCAGTAACCTGATCGTGATGGCCAGGGTGACCCGGTCAGCTGTCCCCCACACACAATGGTGCTGCCCGGCCAAGCGTGTGCCCATCAATAATCAATGCTCTCTGCCCACCGGCCGCACCCGCCCGCCCTGCCTCCCCCAGCCTGGCCAGCTTGGGTTTCACAGCTGTGAGTTCATGGGTCGAGGCCTCTGAACAAAGGCCCGCAGGCCGAGAGTGTACACCTCGCAGGATCCACGCCAGGGACCCTCACAGGCTGCAGCCCCCGTCCCGGGCACCACCCTGGCCCAGGGCTGGGCTCAGGCCTCTCCTGGCTCTCTCCCCACCATGGCTCCCGCCATCCTGGGAGAAAGGCCCGGTGCCTTCCACAGCGTGAAGGCCGTGGCGCGGCCCTCCCCTCCCCCTTCCCGCTCCAGCGCTCCACCTCCGTGAGGCCTTGCCTTCTTGGGCCCTGTCAAATCACTACTCAGATCGGGCGCCTTGGCACACGCCTGCAATCCCAGCCTGCTGGAGGCCGAGGCCAGAGGAGGGCGTCCCCCTCCCCCGGCCCCGGGACACAGACTCACCGCATGATCTCCTTCTTGGTGAAGAAGGTGCAGTCCTGTGGGGAGAAATGTCAGCCGAACCCGTACCTGGCTCTGGAGTTGGGGTTCACGGTCCCCGCCTCCACCCCCCCCCCCACGCCCTGGGTCCACTCAGCACTCGGTGGGGACCTCAGGCTGGCCGCACACACAGATCCCGGGATGCTGTCCCCCTCCGGGGCCCCCCGCCACCCCACCTGGTACTCCTCCAGCTGCGCCGCGGTGAACACGCTCTGCGTGCCGCCCATGCCGGCCTCCGTGGCCTCGCGCACAGCACTGCGCTGGGTGGCCCGGGCCCGGCCGCACCCGCCTCACCCCCTGCTGCCCGGGCTCGGGTTACAGCCAAGCCCTCTGGGCAAAAGTGTGCAGGTGTCCCCGGCTGGGGAGGGGGGGGCACCCAAGTGACCCCTAGATCCTGCGAGACTCGAGGCCCCAGCCCTTGGGTGACTGGCCTGGGCGGTGAGCCGCTCGGCGCTGTGTGGCCCTGGGGAGGTGGCCGCACGTCCGGCCTGGGCACTGTCCCTGAGCTTTTGCCAGTTCGAAGCTGGCACACTACCACTTGAACCACAGCACCCCTTCTGGCTTTTTGGTGGCTGGTGGGAGATAAGAATCTCCTAGACTTTGCTGCCCAGCTTGGCTTTTTTTTTGTTTTGTCAGTTGTGGGGCTTGAACTCTGGGCCTGGGCGCTGTCCCTCAGCTCTTCAGCTCAAGGCGAGCGCTCTACCACTTGAGCCACAGCGCCACTTCCGGTTTTCTAGTGGTTTATTGGAGATAGGAGCCTCACGGTCTTTCCTGCCCGGGCTGGCTTTGAACCGCGATCCTCAGATCTCAGCATCCTGAGTAGCTAGGATTACAGGCGTGAGCTACCAGCGCCCGGCTCCCAGCTTGGCTTTGAACTGTGGTCCTCAGATCTGGGCCTCCTGGGCAGCTGCGATGACGGGCGTGAGCCTCAGCGCCGGCTCTGCCTCCTAAGGCCTCTGGAGCCCAAGCGCCCGCTGTGGGGCCCTGCAGCGGGGTTCCCCTCCCACCCACCCGAAGCCGGCGCCGGGCTTGTCCCCAGGCCCCAACCCTCAGTCTCAGTCCGCCGGGCTTCAGGTCCCGGCAGGAGGCAGTCGCTTGGTGCCCCCTGCTGGCCAGGCCGGGAATGGCCATCACTCTGCCCTCTCACTTTTGTTCCCTTGTGTTGGAGAGCAGGTGTGGCTCTGTCGCTGGCCTGGAACTTGCCGTCCTCCTGCTTCAGCCTCTCAAGCCCTGGGATTACAGGCGTGTGCCACCATCCCCAGCATCCCCAGAGAGCTTGGCAGTGTCTTCCTGACCCCTGGAGGATGGATGAACAGGACTCAGTGAAGCTCACCGCGGCTCCACTCCGAGAGGCTCCAAACTGGACAAGAGCCCGGAGTCTGTCAGCAGGTGGGTGGATACACAGAATGGCTTTCTCCACACAATGAATGCCCCATCGTCACACCCACCAGAAGCATCTCACATGTCCGGCTCAGACAGGAAAGTCCAGACCAATCAGAACAGGTCAGGAGCTGTCCAGGGACCTGGGGGTAGAAGGGGGGGGGGCAAAGCTGAGCCAGGAATGAAGAAGGGCGATGGAATGTTCTAGATCTTGACGGTGGAGGTGCCCATAGGTATGTAAACATGTCAGTAAGAGGAGAGTGTGTTTTGGATAATCGCCACTTTGTCTTGGATGACAGTGTTCTTTAGCGCGGTCCCCACAGTCCTAACGCCTGTCACCCCCAAATTACTTCTGTTCTCTTCCCCTCATCTCAATCCCCAAAACTGCTTCCCACACATCCTTCAATGATTTCATCGGTTTCTCACAGGGAAAGCAGCTGGTGGAGTCCTGGGGTCTGGGCTTCAGGCCTAGGAAACGATTGGAATCGCTAAGGCCCAGGGTACATTCCAGCACCTTCCACCCACGTCTCTCCAGAATGAGGCCTCTGCCTGACCGGGTAATCTTTCTTCTCTCTCTTCACGGTTTTGCGCTCTGAACTCAAGGCCCCTGAACTTGCTGGACAGATGCTCTGCTACTTAGCCACACACCACCCCCAGAGCTTCTTTTCTTCTTTTTGTCGGTCGTGGGGCTGAACTCTGGGCCCGGGCGCTGTCCCTCACTCTTCAGCTCAAGGGCCACAGCGCCACTTCTGGCGTTTTCTGCTTATGTGGTGCTGAGGAATCGAACCACGGCCCATGCCAGGCGAGCGCTCCACCACGGAGCCACCTTCCCAGCCGTCTTTGCTCTCCTTCTTTGCGCCAGTGGTGCGCTGGGCCTTGAGCTGAAGGCCCGCGAGCCGCCCTGAGCTTCTGCACCCAAGGCTGGCGCTCGACCCCCTGAGCCACCGGCTCAGTCTCCAGCTTTCTGGTGGCTCAGTGGAGATAAGCGTCTCCCGGACTTTGCTGCCATAGCTGGCTTTGAACCGCGGTCCTCAGGTCTCAGCCTCCGCAGTAATTAAAAGAAAAAGAAAGAAACGGGTAAGCCCTGGCCTAAGCGGGGAGAAAGCGGAAGTGGGACTCCGGACAGGAAGTGTGGCGGGAGCCACGTTGCGGCGTCGACCACGCCCCCACAGGAAGTGTGGCAGCAGCCTGGGCGGGACGTCCTGGCGGGCCAATCAGGAAGCAGCGGGGGCGGGCGCTCCGGCACAAATAGCGTCCGCAAACCGGAAGAGGCGCGGAGTCGTCGCGGGTCGGGCCTGGCAGCGCGGCGCCATGGCGGCGGCGTACGAGCAGGTGCAGAAGGGGCCGCTGAGGCTGAAGGGCGGCGCCGAGGTCGGCGTGACCAAGCGGTGAGGCCCGCGGGAGCCCTCCGACCCCTCGGCCCTCGCGGCCGCGCCGCGCGCCTGACCCGCTCGTCCCGCCTCTCTCGCTCCCAGGAAGAAGAAGAAGAAGGACAAGGACACGGCGAAGCTTCTCGAAGCCATGGGCTCCAGCAAGAAGAGCGAGGAGGAGAAGCGGCGCGGCCCGGACCCGCGGACGCCGGCGCAGGCGGCCTTCGAGAAGATGCAGGAGAAGCGGGTGCGGGGCGGGGCGGGGCGGGTGCGGGGTGCGGGTGCGGGGCGGCGGGGGACGGGTGCGGGGCGGCGGGTGCGGGTGCGGGGCGGCGGGTGCGGGTGCGGGGCGGCGGGTGCGGGTGCGGGGCGGCGGGTGCGGGGCGGGGGCGGCGGGGGCGGGTGCGGGGCGGCGGGTGCGGGTGCGGGTGCGGGTGCGGGGCGGCGGGTGCGGGGCGGCGGGGGCGGAGCCCGGAAACCGGGCGCCCCGAGGGGACCCCAGGACCCGGGACAGCCTGGGGCGGGGGCGGGGCCGCGGTCCGGTGACAGGCATCGCCTGTGTGTGTTCGTCGGGCCTCAGTTTCCCTGTGTGACTTCGGGTGGTGGCTTCGGTTTGTTGTCGTGCTTGTCTGTCTGTCTGTGTCCTGGGGCTTGAGCTCAGGGCCTGGGTTTTTTTACTCAAGGCTGGCGGGTGCCCTACCACTGGAACCACACAGCTCTACTTCCACCTCGTTCCTGGTGCTTCATTGGAGATAAGAGCCTTGCCGACTGTGTCTTCCCTGGGCTGGCTTTGAACCGAGATCCTCAGATCTCAGCCCTGTCAGTAGATGGGATGCCAGGCGGGAGCCAGGGCGCCCTGCTTGCGATAATCTCATCCTGTTGAGTAGATAGAATCACAGATTTGGGGGAGGTGTTGGGGAGTTGATCGTGGGGCCTGAACTCTGGGCGCTGTCCCTCAGCTCTTCAGCTCAAGGCTAGCGCTCTACCACTTGAGCCACAGCGCCACTTCCAGCTTTTTCTGCTTATGTGGTGCTGAGGAATTGAACCCAGGGCCTCATGCATGTGAGGCAAGCGCTCTACCACTGAGCCACCTTCCCAGCCCCAGGAAGACTGATTTAAAAAATACATTATTATTTTTTTTGGGGGGGGTCCGGTTGTGGGGCCTGAACTCTGGGCCTGGGCGCTGTCCCTCAGCTCTTCAGCTCAAGGCGAGCGCTCTACCACTTGAGCCACAGCGCCACTTCATTTTCTGGTGGCTTATGGAGCTGAGTCTCATGGACTTTCCTGCCTGGACTGGCTTTGAATGGTGATCCTCACATCTCAGCCTCCTGAGTAGCTGGGATGACAGGCGTGAGCCACTGGCACCTGGCTTCCCAGCCCCTTTAATATTTTTGTTAAATTCTATATTGAGATAATCTCCGTAAAGCTTTTTTCTTTTTCTTTATTTTTCTGGTGCTGGTATTGGGGATTGAACTCAAGCGCTCAAGCTTTTGCTTTGCTCTTTTTACCTCTGCTGTTTGAACCACACCTGCACCTCAGCTTTTTGCCGGTTAATGGGAGTTGAGTGTCTGTAGGGCTGGCTGGGATCTGAGGTTGGTTACTCTCAGCCTCCTCAGGAAGGAAGGTAGACTGAGCCACAGCACCAGGTCTTGCTAGGGTTCGTCTACACCCCTAGGGTCCAGTGAGGCCCTTGGCCACTGAGTCTCCCCTCTGTTCAGCCTTTGCAGCCTGCATGGCTGTGTGGCATTGCCGGACACATCGGCACCCGTGCCTCCTGAGAGCTTCCCTGTAGCCCACTTGCTTTCCTTGCTTGTGCTCACCGGGCCCGCAGGGTGGCCGGGGCTGCCTGAGGGCAGGTGGTATGCATGGGTGAAGCGGAGCTGGGCCTGGTGTGTGCGGCGCCGAGCCCTGCTGTCCCTGCTGGTGTTTCCCAGCAGGTCCGAGCCTTCCCCTGACGTCCTGAGGTTTGGACCCACAGTTGTCTGTGGCAGGTGACCGGTCGTGTGTGGCCGTCCTGAAACAACCCACAGTGTGTGCAGAGCCTGTGATGGCAAGGAGAGGGCTGGGTGCCCCTCCCCCTCAGTCCCCCGTGTGGGTGGGTTTAGTGCCCTAGTGAAGCATTTCCGGGCCCTCCCGGGCAGCACCACTGATGGACAAATGGCATCAGTGGCGGCAGCCCCGTCCCCTCCCTGCTGTCTGCTGGGGCCGTGGGCTTGGGGTGTCCTGCCAGCCTTCGGGCAGGGCCATCAGCCTAAGGCCCTGTTGCTGCTCTTTCTGCTGCCCACAGCTGGGGGCAAAGGGCACCAAGCCGTCTGTGTTGGAGGGCAGGCCTGGTGGACAGCCAGCCCTCCACTGACCGGGCTTTCCATGGCTTCCAGCCCCCAGGCCCATCTCCTCATCTCCCCACCCCCATCTTCTGTCTTCTCTCTGCAGCAAATGGAAAGGATCCTGAAGAAAGCATCGAAAACCCACAAACAGAGAGTGGAGGTGAGGTGGGGCAGAGCCAGGGCCCCTGGGCTGTGGGGGCCCCTGGGGAGAGGGGTGGGCGCCCTCCTGATGCCAGCCCTGCTGCTTCCTGCTTCCCAGGACTTCAACAGACACCTGGACACGCTGACCGAGCACTACGACATCCCCAAAGTCAGCTGGACCAAGTAGAGCGGCCGTCCACTCCCACCCCCTGCCGCCCAGCCTCCTCCAGACTCCCGGCCTCCATCCCACACCCCTCGCTCCCAGCCTCCTCCAGGCTCCCGGCCTCCATCCTGCACCCCTCCCTCCCAGCCTCTTCCAGGCTCCCAGCCTCCATCCCACACCCCTTCCCATCTCCAGGCTTCCGGATCTGAAAGAGCCCTTGGCAGTTCCAGGGGAAAGCTGGCCTTACCCGCCTGAAGGGTCCTTTTGAGGTGGGATCCTGGAAGAGGCCCAGTCAGCTGCCCGCCAGGTGAAAAGGAGACCCTCACAGGCCTCCTCCAAGACCACCCTCACCGACCGCTTCCCACCAACGTGGGACTCCCCGCCCAGGCTCCCACAGCCATGGACGCTGGGGCCAGGCAGCCCGCGGGCAGAGCTGCCACTCAAGACAAGGGCTGGCCCTTCCCTGCCCGTTACTGCCATGACGGACCTCCCTGATGCAGGGATCAGTGGGGTGAGGACCTCGGCAGAGCCACCAGCCACCCTCGACCCAGGCCCAGTATGTACGCAGCTGCCCGCTGTGTGGGGCCGCGTGGCTCCCTGGCCTGAAGACAGTGACAGGAGCAGGACACCGAGAGGACACAGAGTCAGAGCAGGTGATGCTCAGGCCTGGGCCCAGCCCTGGACAACCCAGGTCTTTGAGGGCCTCCAGCTACCGTGTCGTCAGAGTGCACCTGCTGCTGACAGACCCTGAACCAGTCAGCAGCCCCAGGATAAAGCCTCAGGCTGTGTGAAACCTGCATAATAAAGCCTGCCAGAGCTTCCAGGAGAAGGCCACCGAGTACTGTCCACCAATGGGGTGTGGTGCTGAACCTGTGTGTGCAACTCCCTTGGCTATTTTGGGCAAGACCAGTGCTCTACCACTTTGAGCCGTAGCTCCACCAGTTTTCTGGTGGTTATTGCAAATAAGGGTCTTTCAGATTTTCCTGCCTGGGCTTGCTTTGAACCACGATCCTCAGATCTCAGGCTCCTGAGAGGCTGGCATTACAGACATGAGCCACTGCCTGCCTCCTGGTGGAACTGTTCTGTGGTAGGCATCTAAGGGAGATGGCAAATGCTTGGCACTGGTCTTCCATACTGTAGACCCTTTGGAGTTTGGAATACTTGCGTATTGAATATGTGCATATGTGTAATGAGATATATTTTTAAATGGTGGTCATGAGGCTTTCATGGTGTGTAATTCTGTTAGCATCCTATTTTGGGTTTGGAACCGTTTTGGCTTAAGGGTGGCCGCTCCATACTCTGATTAGAAGAGTTCATTTTGAGGGCCTGGGAAGGTGGGGCTCAGTGATAGAGTGCTCACCTCCTGTGCAGGAGGCCCTGGGTTCCATTCCTCCGCGCCACATAAGCAAAAAGCCGGGAGTGGCGCTGTGGCTCAAGAGGTAGAGTGCTCGCCTTGAGCTCAAGAGCTGAGGGACAGCGCCCAGGCCCAGAGTTCAGGCCCCACAACCGGACCCTCCCCTCCCCCCCCAAAAAAAGTTTATTTTGATGCTTTTATTACTGAGCTGATTGCTGTGTTGCTCTGGCTGGCCCAATCCCCAGACTCTTGTGCCTCGGTTCCTGAGTGCTGGGATCACATGCAGGCCTGCACCCCCACACCACTCCACACTGGCAACCACTGTCCCGCGGCTTTCGGGCGGCTCAGGCCTGTCACCCTGGCCACTCAGGAGGGGCTGAGGTCTGAGCAAGAAAGGTGGTGAGACATCTCTGCAAACACTCAAAGACTGCAGGCAGCGCGGGGTGAGCCGAGGCGCAGCGCTGGCCCTGAGCAGGCCGGGGCGCGGTGAGCAGGCCGGGGCGCGGTGAGCAGGCCGGGGCGCGGTGAGCAGGCCGGGGCGCGGTGCTGTGAGCAGGCCGGGGCGCGGTGAGCAGGCCGGGGCGCGGTGAGCAGGCCGGGGCGCGGCGCGGTGAGCAGGCCGGGGCGCGGCGCGGTGAGCAGGCCGGGGCGCGGTGAGCAGGCCGGGGCGCGGTGAGCAGGCCGGGGCGCGGTGAGCAGGCCGGGGCGCGGCGCGGAGGCCCGAGCGGCCCCAACAGAAAGGACGAAAGCGGCTACCGAGGCTGCGACGGGGGCTCACCCGCCGGCTCCGGGGCCCCGCATCTCCGTGCAGCTGGCTCTGGAGGCGCTGGTCCCCGCACTGGTGGCCGGCGCCGGCGGCTCGCGCCCGTCACCCACACTCAGGAGCTCGCGGTTCAAAGCGGGCCCGGCAGGAAGGTCCCGAGAGCCGAGCTCGGCCCAGCCTGGCCGCCAGCTCGGCGGCCGCCGCCCAAGCGGGGGAGGTGCGAGTGCGGCGGCCCCGCCCCAGGCTCGCCGCGGTCCGCGCTTGCACCGCGGCCGGCGCTCGGGCTGCGCAGGCCCCGTCCACTCCTCCCCGCCCCCCGAATCCGCTTCCGGGATGCCAGAGGGGCGGGCGCACTGCGCCTGCGTGCCGGCGGCCTCGCGCAGGCGCGTCGCCCAGGCCCCGCCCCAGCCGGACATAACGGTCCGCGCGCGGCTCTCCGGACCGGAAGTGCCGGCGAGGTGTCGCGGGGCGCGCCCGGCCTCGCTCAGCGCCCGGCAGTCCGCGCCGCCGCCGCCGCTCTCGGCCGCCGCCGGGGTCCCCCGCCGCCGCCATGTCCGCCAGCGCCGTCTACGTGCTGGACCTGAAGGGCAAGGTACGGCAGCCCCGCCCCGCGCGTCGCCGGGCGGCGGCGCAGGCCCGGGGCTCGCGGGGACCCTGCCGGGGCCGGGGCCGCCCGGGGGCACGCCCCGTTGCTAGGCAACGCCGCCGCTGTCGCTAGGCGACCGCCCCGCCCCGCCCCGCGAGCCTAGGTCGGGGCTGGGGGGAGGGCCCGAAGCCCCGGCGGGCGCCGGGGTCCCCGCGACCTTTGACCCGAGGCGGGCCCGCGGCCCTCCCGTCGCACTTTAACCTCGGAGGGCGGGCGAGTCTCCGGGCGGGCTCGGCGGGGGCGCGGGCCGGTTCACACCGCCAGGGCGTGTGCGCGGCTGGGCTCGAACCCGCGGCCTGCGCGTCGACCCGAGCCGCGGCGCCACTCCCGGCTTCCCCGGCTTCCGCGGGCGCGGGTGTTCCCGCCCGGGCTGGCTGCGAACCGCCGGCCTCGCCCCGGCCTCGCGAAGCTGGGATTGCGGGCGGGGCCGCCCGTCCCCCCGCGCCCGCGCCCGTCCTCCCGCGCCCGGCCCCCCGCGCCCGGCCCCCCGCGCCCGTCCCCCCGCGCCCGCGCCCGGCCCCCGCGCGCGTCCCCCCGCGCCCGTCCCCCCGCGCCCGGCCCCCCGCGCCCGGCCCCCCGCGCCCGGCCCCCCGCACCCCGGCACTCAGTCCCCGCGCCCGGCCCCCCGCGCCCGTCCTCCCGCGCCCGGCCCCCCTCAACCCCGCGCGCGTCCCCCCGCGCGCGTCCCCCCGCAACCCCGCGCCCGGCCCCCCGCACCCCGGCACTCAGTCCCCGCGCCCGGCCCCCCCGCGCGCGCCGACACGCGGGAACCCCTGCGCGGCCCGCCCCGCACAGGGACGCGGCCGAGGGCGGGAGCGCCGCGCACCCCGCGGCCCGGCTCTGCCCGCGTCCAGAAATTTCTGCTTAAGCGCGACCCCGCCGTGCGCGGCCGGGGCCTGCGGGGGACACTGAGGCTGCCGCGGCTCCCGCGCGGGGCGGGCGGCGGGCGGGCGGGTGGTGGGCGCCGTGGAACCCGCCGGCGCCGCCCGCAGGTGCTGATCTGCCGGAACTACCGCGGGGACGTGGACATGGCGGAGGTGGAGCACTTCATGCCGTCGCTCATGGAGAAGGAGGAGGAGGGCGCGCTCTCGCCCATCCTGGCGCACGGCGCCGTGCGCTTCATGTGGATCAAGCACAACAACCTCTACCGCATCCGCGCGGGGCGGGGCGGGGCGGGCGGGGGTCTGGGGGCCACGCGGGCGCGCGGCCAGAAGGCTCCTTGACCTTGGCGCAGTGGTGGCCACGTCCAAGAAGAACGCGTGCGTGTCTCTGGTCTTCTCCTTCCTCTACAAGGTGGTGCAGGTGAGCGGGGCGGCGGGGTCGCGTGGACGCGGCGGGACGGGGCGGGCGGGCGGCCCTGCGCGCGTGGACACGGCGGGACGGGGCGGGCGGGCGGCCCTGCGCGCGTGGACGCGGCGGGACGGGGCGGGCGGGCGGCCCTGCGCGCGTGGACGCGGCGGGACGGGGCGGGCGGGCGGCCCTGCGCGCGTGGACGCGGCGGGACGGGGGGGGCGGGCGGCCCTGCGCGCGTGGACGCGGCGGGACAGGACGGGCGGGCGGCCCTGCGCACGTGGACGCGGCGGGGCGGGGCGGGCCCAGCTGAGGGCGGCGCATGCGCAGGTGTTCTCCGAGTACTTCAAGGAGCTGGAGGAGGAGAGCATCCGAGACAACTTCGTCATCATCTACGAGCTGCTGGACGAGCTCATGGACTTCGGGTACCCGCAGACCACCGACAGCAAGATCCTGCAGGAGTGAGTGCCCCGGCCCCGGCCCGCCGCCCCTGACCCCGGCCGCCCTCACCCCGGCCGCCCTGACCCCGGCCCCGGCTCGCCGCCCCTCACCCCGGCCGCCCTCACCCCGGCCGCCCTCACCCCGGCCGCCCTGACCCCGCCCCGGCCCGCCGCCCCTGACCCCGGCCGCCCTCACCCCGGCCCCGGCTCGCCGCCCCTGACCCCGGCCGCCCTCACCCCGGCCGCCCTCACCCCAGCCGCCCACCCGCAGGTACATCACCCAGGAGGGCCACAAGCTGGAGACCGGGGCGCCGCGGCCGCCCGCCACCGTCACCAACGCCGTGTCCTGGCGCTCAGAGGGCATCAAGTACCGCAAGAACGAGGTGTTCCTCGACGTCATCGAGTCCGTCAACCTCCTGGTAGGCCTCTGCGCACGCGCGGGCTCGGCCGGCCTGGTCTAAGCTCGCGTGGGCTCGGTCCCGAGGCGCTGGTGTGCTGCTCCCGCGTGACCCTTTCGTGGTGTTTGTTTATTGGCTCGGTTTGTTTACGTGTTTGCCGGTCCTGAGGCCTGAACTCGGGTCCTGGTGCTCCACCACCGCAGCCAGGCGCCCGCGCAGCGCTTTGCGGCTCATCGGTTAACGGACTTGCCCACCCGGGCTGGCTGTGACCCGCGGTCCTCGGTAGCTGGGGCTGCAGGCGCGCGCCCCGGGGCCACTCGTTCCCAGCTGTGCCGCTCGGGCCCGGCCCGTAGCCTGGCCACTCGCGGGGTCCGGGCCCAGGCCGACCCCTCGCTCCGCGGCGCCCTTGAGCCCCACTCCGCGGCAGACACGGCCGCCTTCCCGTGCCTGCACCCCAGGTCAGTGCCAACGGCAACGTGCTGCGCAGCGAGATCGTGGGCTCCATCAAGATGCGGGTGTTCCTGTCGGGCATGCCCGAGCTGCGGCTGGGCCTCAACGACAAGGTCCTGTTCGACAACACGGGCCGTGAGTCCGGGGACCGGCGGGGGGCGGGGCTCTGCGCCGGGGGCGGGGCCTGTGGGCGGGGTCTTGCGCCGGGGCGGGGCTCTGCGCCAGGGGTGGGGCCTGGGCGGGGCTCTGCGCCGGGGGCGGGGCCGGCCCTGACCCCGCCCCTCCCGTCCCCAGGCGGCAAGAGCAAGTCAGTGGAGCTGGAGGACGTGAAGTTCCATCAGTGCGTGCGGCTCTCGCGCTTCGAGAACGACCGCACCATCTCCTTCATCCCGCCGGACGGCGAGTTCGAGCTCATGTCCTACCGCCTCAACACGCACGTGAGTGCCCCGCGCCCCCGCCCGCCCGTGCCCCGGTTTTCCCTC